ATCGGTCCGGATTACATTTGCTACTGGTCACCATAATCATGGCTAAACAATCGCGATTGTTGCCAATCTTACCCACTAAGGTTCCCCCAAATTACTCTCCTTCCGCAGATTCGCCGATCAAGAACCGAACAGTTGCTTTTGCATCATACTGGGTCCGGGGACCCAAACGCCATGACCATCCAGGCTCACTGGAGGGCACCGGGGTGGTCCGCTTGCGCAAACAGGTCTATCTAGGCCTGAATTTTCTTCTGTCGGTTATCGACAATGTCTCTCAGCTCTTGATGACTGCATGGGAGAACCCATGAATATGCCAATGCTTGGCCTGCGGAGTAAGTATTCATCAAGCCGCGACGGCTATCAAATCCCATGGGTCATGTTGCCGCTGGGAAAGAAACATTCGACACTAAACGGATACATTTTCAGTCAATGAGATATGCTCGACACATCTGTGTGGTAGGATAACATGATAGGTCCATCCGAGGACAAGACTTTCTCTGTAGGGCCTGAAACGAGAGGTGGGGCTGTCATCATAACACATTTGACCAGCGCCAGTCCAGAACGCTCGGGCTCACGCGATGGCAGGACTCTCCAATAACGTCACGCGGATTCGATGATTCTATCATGCAAACGAGCAAATCAGACAAGACTACATACTCAGTTATGTGATGTAACTTACTGTGCAAGGGCGGGGACTTTCGTCAGCTGTGCTGAATCGGCCTACTGCCTAATCCCAGCCTGGCGAGACCAGTCTCGTCACATTTTCGGGCATCGCGAAATCTGCATCTACAATCACGGCTGTCTCTTCAGAGCTAAAATATCACATAACCTGACTGGTCCTTTCTGTCCCCAGCCTCCTGCTCCACTCTGAACTGCCGGCCGGACACGCAAGTACCAGGCCCATGCACGTCGGTCCAATTCGTCCCTGGCGAGACTGGAGGCCCAGGACTGGCAGACAATATTGATGGCGCGTAGAAGATGCGCGAGACATTCCTTCTTTTCAGCTTCCAGCAGGGAAGCATTCTTTGTGGCTGTCCTGCGGGAGGGTACGTCTTCATCAGAAGCTTTGGTGAATGCCTTATGCAAATATGATCGCGCTGAATCAGGAGTGAAGATAGGCAAAGGCTTGTCCACTTTCATATCCTGGTTCGAGCTCTGAGCTTTCCGCATGGCATCCGTATCAATACCCCATAGTGGCGGTGCCTTGTCTGATTCGTCCTGGGATACTTGCCCCAGAACATCATCGGACACGACAGGAGCGTTCGCATCCGGTTCTGTGCTTGCATCCGGCAGCCGACCCTCTCGCGAATCATAGTCCCATCTCTTCAACACTTTCACCTCTCTGCCCAGGACCTTCACCACCGGCTGGCCCTCTCCCCATCCTTCTGTTTCAGCGGAGGGTTCACTCTCAATACCTAAGCTCGCGGCCTTCGATCGACTATTAGCACTTACCACAGCCTGGGCAAGACTCAGTCTGCTAGAAATCGGCTGCTCGGGCATTGTATATCGTAGCACGCACACAGCAAATGCAAGCACGAGTGGTGCTCGGTTTGTGATAAGGGTAATGCTGGATAGGTCTTCTTCTGGAATACTCGACTCAGGAAGAGCAAGCGCACATTCTGTGTCAAAGGGGGTGCTGGATTCATTTGTGCGAGAACCTTTGGCTCTTTTCGCGGGAGCTGTGGTGTCTTCAGCAGATGAGCCTCGTTTTTTGCACACTCTCTTTGCGGCGTTCATGACTTGTTTGGCCATCTTGTCATCCTTAAAGATGTTCTGGAGAGCTTTGAGTTCTGATTTAGCGATCTGTTCAGGACTAGGCGACTATCAGATGGATTGCTACTTTTATATCCGGATGTCAAAACAGGTCATACGTTGTTAGGCCGGCCTTCTGAAGTTCCATGACTTTACCCATTGCGGACGCAAGTGGCACTTTGGCATCCTGTGATAGGAAGCGAAGTAGAGATTGTACCTGAGCCGCCGCCATTGTACTCAACTTGTAATCAATATGAAAATTTCGATGCAACTTGAGCGGATGTGAACTTGCGATAGGCAGGATAGAGTGAGGAAAGATGCTTGGCTGAAGTTAGAGTGAACTTACTCATACTTCCTTTTCTAGAAGGGTATTTCCTGCCTTAGGCAACAAACCAGCAGCCTCCCGCTCCCGCTCCGATCAGCTTCCACCCGCAAGTAAGGTAACTCCGCGCTTCATTGTCTCAACTTCCGTGGTCTCGCAACAAGGAACCCTGCTGCGACCGCAGCTTCGTCACCATGTCGGACGACTCCAAATCAAAAGCCTTTCCCGACCTCTCCGCCAAATTATCGGCCATCCCCAAGAAGTCGCTTTTCGAGCGCCAGAAAGCCGAAGCCGAAGCCAAACGAGCCCGAGAGCAAGCCGAAACCGCGGCTGTGTACGAGGACTTTGTCAAGTCATTCGAGGACGACTCGCACGGCGGCCCCGACAGACCCTCTGCCGATGGACGACTGAACCGCTTCCCACACAAGAATCAAGGGTTTGCAGGTGGCCCAGGTAGACGGCACTTCACGGGCTCCGGTCCGCGCTTGAGCGGGCCTGGCACGCTGGGACCCCCTCCGCCGTCGCTGTCGCGAAAGCGCAACCACGAAGGCTTCCCGCCAGCGCAGCGGAACCGAGACACCGCGCAGGGGATCCTGGGCTTTGATAATACCGGCCCGGGCCCGTCGGCTGCCGCGTCCGCGTTCCGCGTGTCGGACGATGAGGACGAGGCGACTGCCGATGCGAAGGAGGCGGAGAGGGCGGCGGCCAAACCAACGCTGTACTTGGCCTCGTTGCCTCCTGGGACGTCCCCGTCGGTTATCAAGTCGATAATCCCCTCGCTTTTGACGGTGGATAATGTCAGGATACTGCATTCGACCGTCCAACAGGCCCCGACCGATCGCAAGTCGATCGCCGCCATCGTGACCCTTGCAAACGAATCTGCAGCATCGGATATCGATAGCACTGTCAGCGCTCTCCAGAACAAGTACCTGGGCTGGGGTTACTATCTGTCGATCTCGAGGCATCTGTCCTCTGCGGCTATTAGTTCCACAATGCCGGTGACTGTCAGTCAGTCCTCGACAAGCCCCCTTCCATTCGGGGCCAGGTCTACCCAGCCCGATATTCCCGGACGCTTGAACCGAGCTCCGCCTCCTGGCATGCACCGCGGTGGCTTTGCACCGCCAACGTCGTATAATCCTGCATTCGGGCGCAGTGGCCCGACGACACAGGTTGAGGTGAAAGCACCGTCAGACCTCAAGCAGCTGCGACTGATACATAAGACGCTGGAGAACTTACTGAGCTATGGTCCGGAGTTTGAGGCCTTGCTTATGAGTAGGCCGGAGGTCCAAAGAGATGAGAAATGGGCCTGGATCTGGAATGCCCGGAGCGCTGGTGGTGTCTACTATCGGTGGAAGCTATGGGAGGTCTTGACCAACAGTCGACCTACCGGTGGTCGACGGGGTCGGTTCCAACCTCAAAACCCGTCACTTATCTTTGAGGGTGGCGCACACTGGGTTCCACCCGAGGCTCATATTAAATTTGAGTACACTACCAACATGGACGAGTTCGTCACGGACGACGATTACGACTCGTCTGATGAGGAGATGTCGGACTATGAAGATGAGAGACGTGTGGCCGGGGGAGCACCGCCAGCGGAAGGACCGGGCGCTGGTAACGAGGGGCTGGGATACATGAACCCTCTTCAAAAGGCCAAATTGACCCACCTACTCGCACGGCTGCCAACCACGCATGCCAAGCTACGAAAAGGAGATGTTGCCCGTGTTACTGCTTTTGCCATTGAACATGCTGGGGCAGGGGCTGAGGAGGTTGTGGAGATGATTGTTGCCAACATCATCAAACCCTATGCCTTTACGGGGGCCAATCCGGACCGTGAAGCTGAACAAGGACTTGCTCGCAAGGAGCAATTTGGAGAATCAGCCAATGACAACACAGCCGAAGATGGGCGGACGGCCTCGACGAAAACTCTTGACACGTCCTCTGCTAAGTTGGTGGGTCTGTATCTCGTGTCAGACATCCTCTCGTCGTCTGCCACGAGTGGTGTGCGCCATGCCTGGCGATACAGACAGCTTTTCGAGTCAGCACTGAAGACGCAGAAAGCATTCGAGCATCTTGGTAGATTAGAGAAAGACTTCGGCTGGGGTCGATTAAAAGCCGAAAAATGGAAGCGCAGCGTTGGCTCTCTTCTCAACTTATGGGAAGGTTGGTGCGTGTTTCCGCAGTCGAGCCAGGAGCAATTCGTCCAGATCTTCGAGAAGCCCCCCCTCACAGAAGAGGAGCTGCGAGAAGAGAGAGAAAAGGCCGAAGCCGAACGAGTGGCGAGCGCGTTCTCCAAGAACAAAAACCGCTGGAAGGCAGTTGACGAGGATGCAGCTTCTGGAAAGTTCGATCCCAGTCGCGCTGCGGCAGCCGAACCGGATCGCATGGATGTCGACCAGGTCAAACATGATTATGCGACGGCGGAGAATCTGGACGAAGTGTCAATGAGCGACATTGATGGCGAGCCAATGGAGGACAGTGACCTGGAGTTATCGGATGGTGAGCCATTGGAGGAAGACCCTCGCGAAGATGAGAGCGAGCTGAACAAAGCACCGCCGGAGAAAGTAGCTGAAGCGGCAGCCCAACCGCAACCTCAGCCTCCGGTGCGCAAACCACGGCCTAAAGCAGAGGATATGTTTGCAGACTCGGACTCGGAGTGATTATAGCATTCAACAAGCAAGCGGGATTACCCTCAGTAAACAATGCTTCAGGAAAGCAGAGCACGGGATGTATGACATGAACATGGACATGGACATGAAAACTGTACAGAGCGATCGATCGAACAATGTATTGAGTAGCACGCACCATTTGAACTGCCTGGATCAATGCCTGACAAAAGGTTAAGGCAGCAATCTCCTGAATGGGTAAAGTCGGCTTGCCCCACAACCCCCTCGCGACGGAAAGACTTTCGGTGTTGATATCAACCTCGTCTCTTCCCCTCGTTTCTATCCCATTGTCCTATTGCCCCCTCAGCCAGCTCTCTGTTTTCTATCCGTTTTCGTTGTCTTTGCAGACTCCCAACCGTCAAAATGTGTAAGTGAATTACTCCTTTTCTGCGATTGAACATGTTTTCTATATTACTCATCCCCCGCCCAATGTTTTGCTGCCCCTCCATGAGGCTCTGTCGGGAGAAACCCCTCCATACCCGGCTTTTAATCTGCCCCTCGAGCTACCAGAAAAGAGACTGATGTGATGCGAACCAATCTCCAGCCGCCTTCAGTGATATTGCCCGTATGTGATAATGATGCTTCGATCTATCCTCGCAGAGCCCAGCTCTGTCGCTCCTCGACACCACCGATGAACTTTCGGTCTAACCGCGGCCCAACAGAGCAATTTGTCCAGTTCTACTACCAGACCTTCGACGCCGACCGCTCCTCCCTGGCCGGACTCTACGTATGTCCTGCGCATCTCCCAGCTTAGACGCAAGACGACCGACTGACGCAATGGATCTTTTGTGACATAGCGCGACCACTCCATGCTCACCTTCGAGACCAGCTCGATCCAGGGTGTTTCCAGCATCGTTGAGAAGCTGACCGTGAGTTCTTCCGGCCCTTGGGAAACTCCCTGTAGAAGATAGAAACCCCATTTAACTAACGCATTGCTATGTGAATTTGTCTCGTCCTGCAGAGCCTCCCCTTCCAGAAGGTTGTCCACAAGGTCAACACCCTCGACGCCCAGCCCTCCAGCCAGGATGGTAGCATCCTGGTCATGGTCACCGGTGCTCTCTTGGTATGACTCCCCCTCCCTTTATCATCTGACTCAATCCATTCAGCTTCCACGGACCCCGCCAGACCTACAAAAAAAACTGACCAATCTCAACTGCACAGGTCGACGAGGAGCAAAACCCCATGAACTACACCCAGAGCTTCAACCTCATTCCCGATAACGGCAGCTACTACGTCCAGAACGACATCTTCCGTCTGATCTACAACGCATAAATGGTTCCATTATTTGTTTTTTTTTAGGTATAAAGCGCCGTCGTCGCGCGGTGGAAAGGAAACGTCGGAGGGGGAGGGATCAGGCCTGCGGCTTTGGGGAACGGTCATCTATTCTCTATCTCTAGAACAGGGGAAAGACCTGGTCATAGTCCGCAGATAATCCCGTGTGAAACGAAGATAATGAATCCATTTTCAAATTTCAGGTTTCGAGTTCGAACAGAGTGAAGGGCGGAGGCAGAGCCCACGGATCTTGGGATTGGATGCTTTTGGTGAATTTGGAGCATGCCATGCCTCCTTTTCGCTGTGCGTCTCTTCGGGGAGAAGCTCTTCAAATCTCGTGAATTACCTCTTAGTTGGTTTATGTGCGTGCGGTGATACTGTGGTTGTAGTTGTGTTTCGGATGGAGGCAAATCTGGTACTTTCTTGGTGGTGTGGTGATGGCCTTTGCATTCCTGCTCTGTTTGTGTACCTCGATGCCTTATGTGTAGATGGGTGATTGGGCTTCGAGAAGGTGGTCTGGGGTTAGGAGAGAATCTCCCGACTCCTCTTACGGAGTACCGCCGCAGCAGCGGCGCGCAATGCGCATGCTCCTGCGTCTAAAGTACGAGTATTCGCAGAGACTGAAATTACTCGGCGTATACAGCCAAGCCAATGAAGAGGATGAGGGTACAAGAACGAAAGCCGATCAAGCAATGCAGGCAACCCATTGGATACCTTACACTTCAACAGACCAGAATGATTTACAGCCAATTAAACCTTGTGAGATCTACATACACTATATATGCCAAAGATCCTTGGATAATAGCCGGAATAAGACTTCCTGCCCCTCAGAGAGAGAGGATGAAAGCTTTCATCCCCCAAGAAGCGGCGTCTCCTCGGACGGGTGATCCCGGCCCTGGCCTTCTTCTCCGTCTTCTGCTTCCACACCACGGGCCGGTCCCGTTCCACCATTAGCGGGATTCTTATTCGAGGCGTCACCCTCATCGTCGTGGCCATGGCCCTTGTCGGGACCCAGATACTCGAACCACACGCCCAGGGCCAGCAGCGTCCCCTGCAGACACGCCGTGACGATCAGCACCCCCCAGGTACTCCATCCAGCCTGCCCCAGCCGCGCCGCCAGGCTCCCCGCCCACACGAGACTGCCGGGCGTCTGGATGCACATCATCGGGATGCTGAGGCTGCCGACGCAGCGGAGGCGCACCGTCGTATAGATCTGCGGGAAGTACTGGACCGAGGCGAGGAGGGCGGCGAGCACGCCGCAGAAGTTAGACCAGGACTGGAGGGCCTCGGGCCGGCGGAGGCCGACGGCCAGGGTGGTGATGAGCATGATGAGGGCGTGGACGATGCAGATGCCTGCGACCGTGAGGGCGGTGCGGTAGGTTGGGGTGGTCCGGCGGTGGTCGATGCCGTAGTGATGGTGGCGGGGGAAGAAGAGGACGAAGAGGAAGAGGCTGGTTTTGGTTTGGGGTGTCGTGGGTCAGCTTGAGTACCCATGCGTTAGCCGAATTTGGAGGGGCATGCGTACATTAGGAAGAAGCAGAGACATTGAGTGCCGACTTGAAGGATCCCTAGGAGGGCGGAGAAGCAGCCTAGTCCGCTGATTTGCTTGCAGCACGACATGTCGTGGAGACTCTGTTGTTGGGAGACGACATTGGCGAGGGCGGACGAGCCAGAGGTCGTGCCGAGGAGGACGAAGTAGGGGGAGATTCCGAACGAGGATTTCAACGAGATGATGCGGATGTGCTGGGGGAGGTAGGAGAGGAGAATGCCGAAGACGATTAGACTGGATGATTTTGGGTTAGAATCGTTGATTTTGTTGCTGTTCTCGCTATGCTTGTGTTGGTAGGTATGAGGGGAAGAACGTACATGGAGAGGATGAAATTCTTATAGTCGGGCGAATCCAGTTGCCCGCATTGTAGACTGAGAGAATCCATTCTGGTGAACAAAGCCGATTCTAGGATCGTCTGTGTATAGAGGAAGAGGCTGTTGAAATGGAAGATGCTGGGCGGGATGAAGGGAGTTACAGAGCGATGGGCGGTCTATGGGCCCGGTGCATAGGGGCAGGGAGTGCAGATCGGGGGGGGGCGGCAAGAGACAGGAGAATTATTGGACTCTAAAACAGCATGTGTCGAACCAGCGCACACACGTAGTAAACAGGGTGGACAAACGAGGGGATGAAGGATGACTTGTCACTGATCGAGTACTCGAAGGGATGAGTGACTGAGATGATAATCTTGAATGCTTCAATGCTTCAATGCTTTCCTTATCGTCCATCTCCGCATTCTATCCAAAAACGGTAAGGTCTGTTTGGCTACCCTTAAGTAGCTAGTGGAAGATCATGTGCCTTGCAGTACGCTGGTCCACGACTCCATGAAGAACACGATACACATCGAGGATCAAAGGGGAAACCCTTAAAAAAAGTAACTATATCATTCACAGGTCATTGCTGACCCGGTACGACAAAGAAAGCACTACGAGCCGACAGCGCCCAGACGCCTCTGCCGACCGACCATGGGCCACCCATTCATCGATGACGCCAGCCGTCGACTGATGGACAGCTCCAGCAACCACATCACTACGTCACTCGGTGATCATCTCAGCGCCGCCTCCCTGATTCTATCCACAGCGCATTCTTTCTCTCACAACAATAAATTTATCCTCATCCCTGGTCCTTGACTCTTTCAATTCTCTCCCATCAACAACCGCTATCATCAACGACAGTAAGTGGTTTAGCAAAGCTGCAAGAAGTTAGAGGCAGCGATAAGCTAATCTTCAATCTCCTCCCGATAAGACTGATACGGCTTGCTATCATTTCGACCTTAATCACGACTGAGCCATAATGAAGCTTCATTTGGCTTTCTGCCTAGTCTTTGTACTGGCAACAGCTGAGGCTGTCGGTGCATCCAGCTGGTTCAGCAAGGCTGGTATGTTTCAAGTCGAACACATTGAATTTTACCTCGCTCGCTAATGCATCTCGACAGTATACAACAAATGGCACGAAACTGAGTTGGAAAGATGGCTTGCTGACCATGGTACGTTGACACTTTCTGCGTTCTGTGAGATCAGTGCTGACGATACTTTCAGACATTCCTTACCCCTCGCCTGCCGATCGTAAAGATCTTGAGAGCTTGGTGAAGACAAACTGGGATGCTAAGGTTCAGAAGCCTCTGGGACATGCTGTGGTACAATCTCCGGACCACTGGCACAATGCAAAGGAATGGCTCTTTGACACGTACGTCTATATCGACAATACTCCCCCGGCCTTGATACTAACAACCGTCTAGATGGTCGGACTCCCAGCTCAAGGCCTTCCTTGATCGTCATGGCATTCCCGCTCCTCAGCCACGCAAGCGTGACACTCTTCTCAAGGCTGTCCGCGAGAACTACGAAACCATTGCCCAGAAGCTTGGCGAGGCCGTTTCTTACCCTGGTAACTGGGTGTATGCTCAGTGGTCTGAGTCTGATTTGAAGGAGTGGCTCGATGAGCGTGGCTGGCCAGTTCCTCAGCCCTCCACTCGCGACAAGCTCATCGCCACCGTTCGCCGTAACGCCCGACTGGCTGGGCTGCAGGCTAAGGCCATTGCTGCCTCCGCCTCTGCTTCCGCTGATAAGGCCCAGGCTACTTTGAGTGAAGCTTTGTTCAGCGCTTGGTCCGACTCCGACTTGAAGAAGTTCCTTGATGAGCACGGTGTGAAGGTCCCTCAGGGCTCCAAGCGCAACGAGCTTGTAGCTCTGGCGAGGAAGCACCGTGCCTCTCTGGTCAGCCAGGCTTCGACTGCTGCTGCTACCGCTTCTGCAAGCCTCTCCTCCACTGCTAGTGAATTTATCGGCGCCGCCACCACCAAGGCCGGCAACGAGTACGCCCGCGCCACTGACGCTGCTCAGTACAAGGGCCAGGAGGCCTTCGACTCTCTTATTGAGTCTTGGTCTGATTCTCGTCTCAAGGCATACCTTGACGCCCGCGGTGTTCCCGTGCCTCAGAACGGCAAGCGCGATGAGCTTCTGGCACAGGTCCGTCTGAACGCCCACAAGGCTGCTACTGGCTGGAGTGCCTGGACTTTCGATACCTGGGACACTAAGCACCTGAAGAAGTATCTCGCTTCCATGAACTCGAAAGCTGCCCACCAGGCCGACATTACCCGTGAGGAGCTCGTCAAGCAAGCTCAGGACACTTATGCCCAGGCCTCTAAGGCTGGCGGTGACCAGCTGGCTTCCGCTACCTCTTACATGGCTCAGGCTACCGACGTCGCCAAGGACTCTGCCTTCGACTCTTGGTCTCACTCCGATCTCAAGGCATACCTTGACTCATATGGTATTCCCGTCTACCAGGGCTCCAGCATCAACGAGCTCAAGGCCGCGGCCCGCCGCAACGCTGAGTACTTCAGACACGGAACCTCCACTCCTCAGGGTACCATCCTCGCCAAGCTCCAGGATAAGCTTTCGGACCTTTCCCAGTGGGTTTGGGAGCAGGTCAAGGTTGGAGCCGCAAGCGGCAGGGCCCACGGCCAGGAGGCCGCTGAGAAGGCTTCTGAGGTCGCGAAGGAACAAGCTAAGACGCAGGGCTTCAAGGCCGCGGACAAGGTGAAGACCAAGGGAGCCGAGGCTTCCGCGAGCCTGCGCAAGGAGTTGTAAAGTGTGATTTTCTGCAATGTGAGGGTGGATTACAAAGAAAGAACCGGGTATGGTGGTGCTGGTGGGACATGATTTTATGACTTAACGTAATAGTTATTGGTTGGCAAATTAGTCTCGAAATTTACTTTATTTCCTCTTCATAACACTTCTGCTTCTGTGCTGATATGGTAGTGTCGTTTTTGAGGTCTACCAGAATGACGACAAATTGAACAACCATAATATCATAATTCATCCGACCTACAACCTGTCTGTCAGTACCTTTCAAAACACCCCGAATCCACGCCATCCTTTCAGTCCAACCTTAAAACAAGCCAGCCCTACATTCTGGTTTGGCAGCCTTCTGTTCATCACCGCCGCCCTATCTATGATCTTCATCCCCCTCACCCATCCCTTCCTTACTTCATTCACCACCCAAAACTCCTCAAAGTCTCACTCAACTTAAGCACCCTCCTCCCCCTCAGCCACCAACTTCCCGACAACCAAGTACTTCTCCGAGAACCGCTCCTCCCACGACTGCAGATTCTCCAACTGGTCCGCATCCAGGTCCTCCAACGTATCCAACGGACCCTTCAGATCCTTGGTCAACATCTCCTCGTCGAAACTCTGGCACGCCAACCCGCGCGACGCGTCCCGACCGGCGAAGTTCTCGTAGGGTCCGCCCTGTTTTGCCATCTCACGGGTTAGCCTTGTCATACGGGGGGTTGAAGAGTGAAGCGCGACCGATCGGAATTGGAGAAGCTTACCGGTCCATAGAAGTTGCGGCCGGGGGTGACGTCGAAGACGCGGCCGCGCACGGCGAGGTAGACGGGTTGATCGGCGGTGCCGTTGTATGGCAGGAGCGTGGTCGGGGTGAAGGTGCGGAAGACGACGGGTGGGGGCGCTTTGGGGAGGGCGACGGGGGCCTTGGGACGGAGTTGCACGTAGACCAGGATGATGAAGAGGGTGAGGAGGATGAGGTTGATGGGGGAGGCGATTGTCATTCTGTTTTTATGGATTAGTGGGTGTTGTGGGGGATGGGTGCAGTGGCTGTCAGCTTGGAGATGTTGAGGTTCACTGACACTTCGGCCGGTGGGGTTGTTGTTGCTCCGTCTGTTGGTGTTTTGTGTTAGTGGTGGTTGGGGGGGGGGGGGGATGTTTTTAAGGAAGCATTACCCGGGCTAGACATCTTGGGATGTGGCTCTTGTGCTGGTTGATGGACACACGGATGAGGGTGTGGTTCTTTGGAGGATGAATGTGATTGCTGAGCTGAGATGGATTGATGATGGATGATGCGGGTGGTGGATGATGAGTGGGAGTCGCCCCGGCCGCCGCGGTGTATGACGGCAATTGAGGGCAGAAGGGACCTCGGAGCCAATCAACACCACAGCTTAGTGTGCGGAGAACGGAGCCAGAAAAACGGACGGCTATTTGTGGAGGTCAAGGCGGTAAGCGCGGAAGCGCGATTCGGTTCCGTTGGATCGCGCTACTTTGGCTGATTCAGGCTCGATCGTGCAGCAACCTTACAAAAGATTCATGATCGTCTACAGTACTTCCTGGGTTCGATTATTCCCTACTGTCACGCTGATGGCTCTGTAAATGAACCCTGGTTATCGTACTGCACGAGACCGTGGCTGATCATTCTGCACCTTTCTGCAGAGGCTTCAATTATTGCAGCGATCCGCATTCCTGAGATTGCAACGGAGTTCGGAATGCGCTCGAGTCTCGATCCCCCCAGGCTTTCGGAGCTCCTATAATTAAACCAATTCATTCTGAAACAGTCACCCTCGCCCGCTTTGCCAATTTCCTTCGCTGCTGTCAGTCCACTAGCTCGTCATTTATTCTTAGACTAGCTCCGTCTGGGCTCTCTAACGGTCGACTTTCCAGACAAGCCCGGCCTGGTTGGCATCGCAATTCGAGAGGGGCGCACCCAGTCAGTGCACTACCTCCGCGGCTCCAGAAGACGCGGTTTTGGTCTGTCTGTGTGTTGCTCCGGCCGTTCGTCCTTCTCTTCTCTTCCCTTTCGATCTTTCACCCGCTTCTCATTCATTTCAGTCCCTCTTTCTTGTAATTTCTTTGATTAATTCTAGTGCCTGGTCGCCCGCCGCATATTTGTCGAGATTGGATCATCTATCTATCAATCTCTCTTTATCTTCCTTTGTCTTCTCCTTCAATTGTGGTGGACTGATCCTTTCTTGAATGACGTGCCGGCACGTCTGTCCCTTCGCATAATAAGCCTGAACTTAGCTACCTGAATCTTGGTCACATTGCTTATTCCATCTGACTAAATTGTCCTACTCTTCTTGACTTATCTCCCTTTCTCGATCTTCATACTCCTCCCTGTTGAAATCAGCTCCAACCCGACATTGGCGCAAAGTGGTCTTATCGAACATCACGCCCAAGCTTTTAGTCTCGCAACATTGACACTTGACCATCAAACTAGCTGATTCACGAGCTATAGCATCCGCCCAGAGGGTCTATCGTCAAGATGTGGGGGAAAATGCACTTTCATCGATCGCGAAAGCCGGTTATTGGAAATCCCACCTTGATCGACAAAACTCTAGACGATAGTGTCTATCAGTCCTGGTCTCGCGGCCCAGGCACTCAGAGCACCGACAACCGTTCCCTGACTTCTCGAGGGTAAGTTGAAGTAGTCGAGTTGTGATTGCATCTTCCTGCAAAGTATACTTGACTTGCTAACTCGTTCTAGCAACCAAGCGGACTCACTCAATCCCGCGCATCACCCGTACTCAGGTCGCAGGGTCGCATCATCATCCAAGGCCCCAAGCATCGCTCCGAGCATCGCATCCGATGATCTCTTTGACCACCGCTCGGTCAGTTTGACAGATCTTCCCCTGCAGACAGGTATCCTCGGTCACGATCTCAGTCGGCCTGGAAGTGTTGAGATCTCCCCTCCCGACTCACCCGTCTCCTTAAGTCGGCCACCACTTAGTCGCGGCAGCTCCCGCGTCTCCCCCATAGAGGACGAATCCAGGCCGGACCTTGATATCGACCCGATGGAGAAGAAGGAAAACACCAGGCTCACCAGTCAGCTGCCGGTGCGCAAGACCGGTTACTCCCCCGTGGATCAGTCTCAGCCAGCAAACCCGTCCTCGAGAGAATACGCAAGTAGGCAGGACAACTTTTCGAGGGGCTCGACGTCAAGCCATTCTGGCATGTTTGGGCAGCAAGCCTCCGGCAATGCCTCGGTCCGCACCGACATGTCAGCCACACCTCCATCATCTCACGGGTCGAATAGTCTTGGATGGAACACGCAAAGTGCCCGCAAACCTCCCTCAGAGCCACGCATTCGCGAGCCATGGAAGGGACCCAGTGGACGATCACCAATAGTGCAGCCTATCCAAGAACGACCCAGAGCGAACACGATCCGCAGCTATGATCAAATGAGAGCATGCAACGGCTCAGCAGCCTCTGACCTCGCGGCGTGTGGAATGGTCCCTACCGTAGTGACAACAATCACAGCCGGTGAACTTCGACCCACAGATAGACACCATGGCACTACCCGGAACAGTCCCCGTGCTAGGACACCCGAGGCATCCACCCCGACCGCCCGCAGCAGCAACCGCGTCCCACCTCGGGTCGAGCTTCCAGCGCCGGAAACAGACTGGGAATCCTCGTTAATGGATCTTAAGTTGACTACTCACGAAATAGCTGAAGAACCCACAAGCCGCTTCAGCGCAACCACTTACGACCCTACCGAAATAGGCAGCTCAATAGGCAGCAGGCGCAACAGCATCGATACTGTCGCTGACACTGCATCTGTGTCCACGGAGTGTCAGCCCTCCATCATGTCTCGTAGCCGACCCGTGCCGAGCACAGTGGCTCCCGGGAAGAAGCCGACCAGAAAGCCCACGCCATCCCAGGCCGCTGTGGGGGCGGAGGCGGTCATAGAACCCACAGCTATCACTCCCCAGCAACAGAATCAAAACCGGATTGATGCGCTTGAATCCCGCAAAGAGACCCTTGCGCGTCGCAAGGCCAATATCAACACGATCATCTACGAGTTGACTCAAGTCATCCAGCCGAGTTCCGTCGCCTATGACATAGCCGCTAGAGATGAGGTGAAGAAAACGGTCGCCAGTCTTGAAAGTGAACTTGCAGAAATCAAGCGAGAGGAGCATGAGATTGGCGTGAAGCTACTGAAGGCTTGGAAGAAACGTGATGAGCTCGATTGCTATGGGGGCGGCTCTGGCCTTTGGGTCAGCCGAGTGACCAGCTGAAGGTCGATCAAAACATTCGTTTTCATTGCATCCCAATCCGCTCATGAGAGCGCGTTGGACCTTGGTGTTTCTGGACCCCTTTTTTTAATATACTTTCTTTACGATCATGTGGGTTGGGCGAGGTTTGTTGGTTGCATTATGCCTTTCAGCGTTGCGTTTACCATTCGGCAGCATACAGCGGGCTTCACTTCTACTTCTTTTGTTCTAGCAAAGCATGGTAGACAGTCTTTCTTTGATCTGTGCAGTGCGCGATGATACCCTGTTTGCTTGTTGAGAGACGCGAATCTCAAGTCTGGGACCAGGTTCCGTGCAGATGATTCCCAGCGTTTGAGGAACTGAGTCACGCTTTTGAGGTATTTATTGAATAGATTATCAGTGGATGAAGTGTGCGCTCAGCGTTGTAAATGCATCAAGTAAAGTTGCTCAAAGAGAATAGCGCTTAATGCCAAGCGACTCCACCACCTTGCGCTCGTGGGTCATGGCTCGTGGTATATCATGAATGACTGATCTCAATGCTCCCAAAGGTGATTTATTTCTTGCCCGACTTCTTGATGCCCTGGGCACCGGTGTTCAGGGGACCCTTGCCCTTGGCCTTCTCCATCAGATCCTTCTTAGCCTTGGCATCTGAATAGAGACAATGCAGTTAGTGAGATGCTCGCGACCATGATCAAGTCACCGCTGGTGCGGAAAGGCAGCAATAGGTAAACATACCGGCTCTCTGCTTCTCCTTGAAGGCGAGATCATCGTCATCGAGATCCTTCTGAGCCTTCTTGGCCTGCTTGAGGGGCTTGACCTTGCCACCTAGACAAAAGAAAAAGTCGAGTTAGAGGGCTAATAGGCAATACTCAAGACACCTTGATAAGCGCATACCTTCTCTGCTTTGACCACCCATTGTGCGATATTGGTTTTGAAAAGGTTTTGTGAAAGGAGGGTTAGATGAAGGCAAGGATGCGTAGTCGCGCAAAGAGGAGAAGGAGGGGAAATGGAGGCGCAAAAAATCGTGTCTTATCAGCGATTGTCCCGCGGGGAGCCGCTAGTCTAGAACCGGGTTAGGCGCCGAAATCTCTCCCTCTCCATCGGTCACCGCCTGGCACCAGCTCATCCCCATCTCAACAACCTGCTTAACCCCCCCCCCCATTTGCCTCGTTCCTGTTACTACCGCGTGCGATCTCATCGCCCCAGCTACCTCTTCGACAATCCAGCCATCCTCGCGTGAATATCTTGAACTGGAGACAGTAGCAAACATTCTTACTGGTATCTTTTACATATTTTCCTAAAACAAAAGGCAAAAAAAACCCCTCCACACTTGTCTCAGGCTTGCTCAAAGTTGGCAAGGGCCGTGGCATCTTCAGCCGGTTGGACTTTCTCAATATATCCTCCTACCTTGACGCGTCATCCAAACCATTCTTGGCTAACCGGAAGTTCTTCTTCTCCCTTCTCTGAAGCTGCGCGAAAAGGCCGATCTGTCTATCTAGGCACACTCCGTTGAGAGAAGAAGATATATCTCTCGGCAGACGGACGCAAAATGGCATCACGCAGGTCGAGGTCTCCATCGACCCCTTCTGAGGGTGAGATCATCGAATCAGGTTCAGAGACGAAGGCAACTACGTCGCAACTTCCTCTTAATGGCAACCGCGTTGACCGTCCCCCCAGAGCTAGTTCACCCGCCCCCAGATCTCCAGCATCGTTGAGCAGATCGCCCCGCCACCGGAGGTCGAGGACCAGGACCAGATCGCCCTCCCGCACCCGGTCCCGCTCCCCGTACCGCGACCCCAGAGGCTACAAGCGTCGCCGGGACGATGACTATGATCGTGACTATGACTATGACGACCGACGATCCCGATACGAACCCTCCCGCCGCGTCGGGTCCCGATACGATGATAGCCGTTACGCGGGCCGCGGCGGTCAATCCCACCGACGACCCCGGCCCTACTACGACTACGATCGGGAAGAGAATTTCGGCGAGGGGCTGCGATACAGCGACGAGTCGGATCGGCGCAGGGAGAAGCGCGCCCGCACCCGCAGCCGGTCACCGTTCCGCGAAGTGCGGAAACCAAAGCAATACTCTGGGGATGAGTGGGAGTCCCAGCGCGGTGATAGCGTCGCGTCTCGCGACCGTAGAAGGAAGGCTTCTATTGAACAGTCAGTGAGCGAGCGGGGGAAAGCTCCAGTCGTCGCTCGGGATTTAAAATCACATGCTGAAACTCAGAAACCTCAGGTGCAGCAAGCTTCTGAAACCCCTAGTGTTCGTCTTGAGAGGTATGCTCATATGACCGGTTCTCGTCGCGGAGGAACATACTCACAACAACTCCTCTGCAGCGTGAACAATGCCCAAACTACCGAAACCCAGGTAGAGCAACAGCATGAGGAACCTGTCGACGAAGCAGCCCAACTAGAAGCACGCCGCAAACGACGTGAGGCTATCCGTGCGAAATACCGTGGACAAGCTACGCCGTTGCGTCTGCAGGCTCTTCATATCGGAGGCGATGGGGATTCGACGACCCCGAGCGCCGCCGGTACCGCCGCTTCGGTTGCTTCGAATGGCACGCCTTCCGGTAAGTCAGCATGACAGTTTACATTACAGCAGCGTACATTAAACTGACTAGCTATAGATGCAGCCCCACAGTCCGCTCCTCAGACGCCTGACGACAGTCTGGATTCAATTCCGGACTTCAAGGTTGACAAGGATGACGGCTCGCTCAACAATGGTGCACCTGTAGATGGTGCTGATAAAGATGAAGTTTCCGCAGCCGACTACGATCCTACCATGGACATGAGAGCCGAGAAGGAAAAGCACGATACTCGCAGCTCGACTGAGGATGTTTCCGCGGCGGCTTATGACGAAACGCAAACGACCAAGCAGGACATCCTGCTCCCTGATGCAGAGCAGCCTCGACCCCCACCCAAGGCGAAAGATCCTTACGATATGTTCGCCGAAGACGATGGTGACGACATGTTTGCAGAAGATACGCATGACACCGCGCAGCCTACGCATGCTTCGGCGATGTCCGCCATCCCGCAGCCCAAAGAGCTGGACGTCAGTATGCTGGACAACTGGGACGATCCAGAGGGCTACTACAACGTGCGTCTCGGTGAGTTGATTAACGGACGGTATCATGTGCAGCAGAACCTTGGGAAGGGTATGTTTTCGTCTGTCGTGCGCGCAACCGATTCCAAGACTGGCGGACTGGTTGCAATCAAGATCATCAGACAAAATGATACGATGCGGAAGGCGGGGATGAAGGAGATTGGCATTCTGGAGCAACTACGCGAGGCGGACCCTGACGACAAGAAACATGTCATCCGGTTCGAGCGGTATTTCGAACACAAGGGCCACCTGTGCATGGTGTTCGAGAATCTAGGCATGAACCTGCGGGAACTCGTGAACAAGAAGGGCCGTGACACTGGGCTGAATCTTACGGCTATCCGAGTCTATGCGCAGCAAATATTCCTGGGACTCAGCCTGTTCCGGAAGTGCAACATTCTTCACGCCGATCTGAAGCCGGACAACCTTCTGGTCAATGAAAACTACAATGTTCTCAAGGTTTGCGACCTGGGGTCGGCATCGCCCACGACGGAGAACGAGATAACGCCCTACTTGGTCAGTCGGTTCTACCGGGCGCCGGAGATCATTCTGGGGATCCCGTACGATCACGCCATCGATGTGTGGTCGATTGGCTGCACGCTATTCGAGATCGCTACGGGGAAGATCCTCTTTACGGGGCGAAACAACAATCAGATGCTACGGTCGATCATGGAATGCCGTGGCAAATACCCCCCGAAGCTGCTCCGGCGCGGGTCGCTGACGCACCTGCACTTCGACGAGATGCTGAATTTCCACAGTCAGGAGGAGGATAAGGTCACGGGGCGTGCGGTTGTACGGGTGGTGGATTTCAAGAAGCCGACGCGCGATTTGAGGACGCGGCTGATGGGCAAGGGGACCCGTGGGATGACGGAGAGTGAAACGAAGGAGCTGACGTTGTTCTTGGACCTGCTGGAACGCTGCCTGAACCTCAATCCGGAGAAACGGTGCACCCCGACGGAGGCGTTGCGACATCCGTTTATCTCGCGCCCGAAGGTCTAGGTTTGTACCGGAAGGGAGAGGGTTTGTACATATTATGTCATAGTGGTACACTGCGCACATATCCGTAGTACTTCGCAGTAATATTTTATTAGCCACAGCACGGTCGCGTTTACCTTGGGCCTTTGATTCAAAGATGTGCCAATGGGGATGGAGCCGAAGACCCTGTCTGTAGATTGAGTACCTATGTTAGTAGGTAGGCGGATGACTCAATGACCGTTTTCATCCAGTCCAGTGCAGTGCAGTGCCACCAGCCTCGGGGTCTTATGGAATTGAGACTCTGGTAGGGAGGCGTAAGCCTGGATGGAGTATACCCCGCCACCCTTCAGCGGCGCAGCACACCCACTGCTTAGTAAACTGCGGGTCTCTCCCGTCGTGTGGAGAGTTGACATTGACGGGTTCTTTGGGTTGGAGCCTGGAGCCTAGGAGCTGAGGAAAAGGTGATGGTTATGGTGATGGCGATGGCGATGGCGTTTGGTGGGTGGCAACGACGGAAAAGGCATGGCTGGGCTGGGGCTGGGGCTGGGCTGGGCTGGGCTGGAGTGGGGAAAGTTTGGCCAGCCACCGCCTCCTACCACCACCATTACCACCACCATCACCATCATCATCATCATCATCATCATTGTTAATCAAGTTGTTAAAGTTGATATTGATAACATCAGCATTAGCATCAGCATCGTGCAGTATATTGTTCCGTTCTCGGGAAGGGAATGAGACGGATCCGACCCCAGGGTTCCGGTTTGCCTTTTCTTATCTTCCATGGTCCGTGGTCCGTGGTCAAGGTTGTATGTTGTAGGTTGTAGGTAGTAACATAGGTTGTGGACCAGGTAAGTTAAGTCACAGTTAGTGTGTAGTTATAGGTAGCCTTTTACCCTGGGGTATCTAGTAGGTAAGTTGGTGGGTATTGGATGGGTGTAGTGGCGTAGGGTGGCTGATGCGATGACTTCTGGATCTGGAATGGATGGTGGCGTGGCTACGAGTGTGGTGTGGTGTGGTGCGGTGCCGTGGGACTTGGTAAGGCTGTGTCTGTCTGTGTCTGCGTGACTGTGCTCTGTGCAAACGGGATAGAGGTGTTATGGTGCACATACCGTACATAAGCAAAAATGTACTGTATATGGGTTGGAGGGTAGATTACGGAAGGGGTGGTGTTATAGTTGAGGTTGAGGTTGAGGGCTCGGATCTATATTCGTGCTGTTGGAGTCGACTATGGGGTGACGCTAGGTCTGGTTACCTTTTCCCATGTTGGTGCTGGTTGCTGTCTTGGTGCTTGATATCTCTTCTACGGAGTACAGATACACAAGGGGTGATTGTGTGCAGCTACTATGTACATAGGCATTGGTTTACTTGTATATGTTGATGATTTTTGGGGGAATGAGTTTAGTGTTACTTATATCTATCAGATGGGTTGATGAGGTCTTGAGCGATGGGAATGATGGGAAGTGTGGTTCTTTCTCGGGACTGCAAGGGCTACCTTACTCCGTATATCTATCGTCTATATGGTAGGTACGGAGTAGTCTCCGGATGTTGATGCGGGATTCCTTCCTGCAGCGATCCGAGTTCAATCGGAGGTAATTCTCTGAAGACAGAAACAGGACTCTTCATGAAGGGAGGCCAGGTTTTGATCGAGGAAACTGAGCCGAATCGACCTGTGCTCCGGACTGTAGTCTTGGATTGCACAAGTCCCAAATCAAGGTAGGCAAGCAAATAGGCAAGCAAGCAAACAACATCCAAGTTGGAACGTTGGAAGTTGGAACAAAGGCGGAGAGGGGATCGTTCGGATTGCGGGCTGAGAATTTGGATCTGGTCGGCGGTAGTTACTGTATCCAACCGGGGGAAATCAGTTGGCCGGAGCATTGATGATATCATGGTGCGTTGGGGTTTATGTAGGGGGGTCTTGGGGGCTTCGGTAGAGTGCAGGGGATGTAAAGTGGGAGGATGCGATGTGAGGTGTTCTATACTGAGGATTGAGATGTCTATTTGTGTCGGGTGGACGGGTTGTGTATAGACCTCAGTACGGGATATATATGGCAGGATGAAGGGGTACCATGGTTATCACGCCGAGTACGGAGTATATAGCAGTGATAGTCTGGTCATTACTCACGGAACTGGAGCACTAACTACTACAAGTACAAGTACCGAGCAGATTGAAGGACTGGACTACCGATACTCCGTAAACTACTTACAGAAAGTCCTCCTGCAGTGCAGTACTAGTTCAGGCCCCCAATAAGCATACCATCTCCTGCAAGTGCGTGCGTGTGTGCACTTGTGCTGTGCAGGTTCGCCTCTCCCCTCCTCTTCTCCCACCTCCAAATGGGTCTGTTTGCAGCCAGCCAGCATACAATGTATGTACTGTATGTACGGAGTACATGGACAGACATCTTACTGGTACAGGGGTACTCCATAATGCGCTCACGAACCCGCCTGTGTGTCTGTTTGTACCCATACATACTTACCGATAGGGTGGTTGGATTTTGAGGCGAAGAGAGAGGGTCGTCACGGGATGAGCATAGGTGGTCAAGCGCGCGGAACTTTTCCCCCTACTCTCTGTCAATCAACCTCTGCAGTAGGCAGTAAGCAGCAAGCAGTAAGCAGTAAGGCTGCTTCGATTGAGTTTGGAACGGGATTGTCCTCTTGTACTCATAGGATAGCCCAATTGGGAATTCTCCGAGCTGACGCTGACGACAAGATGGGATTGATACATCCGGTGTCTCATGTTTTTTTTCTCTGTCTGCTTACTGTGCTTCCCAGGTTTGATGATGCTGATGAGAGGAGAAAGGTCTAGAGGGTTATGGAGTCGGTTCTGGGGGTGGTGATTGGGGGGTTGAGTTGAGCAGTGGTTGGTTCTAGCCTTGATTGCTTTTTTAACTTCTAAGTATCTACAAGGGGCAGAGAGGGAGTTCTGGAACTAGTTACTCAGTGGTTGCTGGTTTGATGATCAAGTGAGACTGAAAGTGACTTGCTGCCACTGCCACTGCCAGGTTTCGAGGTTGCTGGCCCGTGCAACCGACGACAGCTTCCGGCCTGAGCCCTGCCCTGCCCTGCCCTGCCCTGCTTTCCAGTAGCTTTGCTGCTACTCCAGGCTGTCTCAGTGCCAGTGCACTGCATCCAACGTGGCAGCAGAGCAACCAATCATCAGCCGCTGGCCCAGTCATCCGAGCCGCTAGTCCCCATCCGGACGAACCGCCCTGTCATTGGTCTGATCTCCATCGCCTCACTTTCGGATCCATCATGGATCGATTTTCTTACTCCTTTTCCTGGCAGTTCGCATGGCAATTGGATTCACGGTCGGTCATCCACTACAGAAGACTTTCCACCTGCTGGGGAATAGAGTTGGGTTTGATGAATCGAACGGCCGGTTGAACAACAACCACACAACAGACAGTTCGGGAGTGTATAGCATCATCGGATTGAAAAGACGGTGTGGTTCTAGTCACTCCTCCACTTGTCGAAGATCGTTGTCGCGAGTGTCAACAGGGCACGCCCTCCCGCGCCTGTCCCCTGTTTGATTCGACGTTTCGTATAGATACCCGTCTCAACTGAGTAACCATACCCACCTGCCTGGCTGGAAGGAGGGGAGAGTAATAATGTAGAGGAGAGGATGAGCTGGCACTACAGACTTTACCCTACCTCCATTCATTGAGTCGACTAACCGAGTCTATACACCAAAGTCACAGTTTCCAGTCTAAGTTCTACTGTCCCGACCACAACAACAAACTGTCACTCCCATCCATCTAACCCTCCGCCCCCAGATCGGTCGTGCGTGCCCTGTCAAGCACACGAAACAATGGACCAGCACTCGGGAGGACGCCTGGTGGGGCTTTCCCTCATTTTTAGGGAAATGGATGAGCCGGAATGAGGTAGATAGTAAAGGTTGCTTTGTTTGCTTCTTCCTGCTCATAAAATCCCTCCAGCCTCATTCTGACCACTCGAACTCAAGCCAACGGGGCGCACGAGAGAAGGAAGGAAAACAACGAGTGACAAAGTGACGAGTGGGAAGAGGCAGAGATGAGAAGTGAGAGATCCTTTGTGCTAGGTCGCTAGTCTAGTTGCTACTTACTAGGTTTCTCGCTCGGGGGGAGGCTGGAACCAGGGTCAGGATCTTGGTCTGTTGCTCGAACCGTCGCAGGCCATATGGAGAATTGCCGCCCCGTTCCAATCCAGCAATCCCGGGGAGGAACTGGTAGTGGTAGTGGTGGTGGTGGTGGTGGTGGTGGTGGTGGTGTGTGTGGCAGTTTCGAGTGCCAATGAGACAGACAGACACTTAAGAGGCGACGGATTTATTCATCCCAGACTCATTCTCATTCCCAGTTGCATCCCGCGTGCAGCCAATGGATCCCACAGGAAGGGGGGGGAGGGAGGCGAGCCTGTCGAAACCTTTCCCATCGATTCCGCCCGGGCCAGGCTGGGAAGTGGATTTGTGGTGTGGGAATTGTGGATTGTGCATGATGTGAGTGGAGCCCTTTATTTTTGTAATTATTGTTTGGGAAGAATTAATAAATCTGGTGGTCCAAAAGAACAAGACCTGTCACACCTACACCGCCTCTGATGTTGAAGATGTGAGATGTGATGTTTTGATGATGATGCTGGTGCTGGTGCTGGTGCTGGTGCTGGTGCTGATGCTAATGATGTTGTGGGTTATTGATGATGTTGTGATTGTTATTGTTGTTTATCATCATCTTCAAGCTAACTAATGGCTACTGTAGAGTGGTGATTGTAGATGCAGGTGAGTGGCTGTAAAAAGATATACACATACTTCTACTCCGTAGTGGTGGTTGATTCTTTGTTGTGGTTCCCTTTGCTATTGTTTTGTCTGCTGACCTTCTCTTCCTCTTCCTCTTTCTTCCTTTGCTTCCCAAGGTTTCCTTCCCTCCCTTCCGGCTCTGTCCGCAGTCTGCACAGCTGCACACACCCTCAAACAAGACACTCACTCCCTTGCCGTCCACTTGTCTGACTATGGCAAAGCATTCTATCTACTATCTACCTCTTACGTAGGAGCGACCAGAAAGAGGGAAGGGTGGAATGGGAAAATCATGGATCCGCCCAGGCTCAGCTCTTTCATACCTTCTTCAGTATTATTGTTCGCCTCCCTCGGACCCCCATCCAGTCAGTCCCCATCCAGTCCCCCTCCAGTCTGATCCACTCTCCATCCAGTCTAAGCATCATACATTGTTAGTCGAGTGGAGTGTGGGGTTCTTAGGGAAGGTCTGCAATTCCGTGTGATTCGCCTGGGAACCGCTGCGGTGGCTCTGGCCACGAGTCTAAACTGCGTGGAATTAAATTCACCACCTCCTTGTCATCCCGCCCATTTAGTCCTACGCATAGTAATTCCTAGTATTTATTTTTACTGCTGGACTACTTATTTTTACCTCCTTGACCTCTACATACCCTACTCTATTCTACCTTCCCCGTATTGATTTTCCCGTTCCTCTCCCTCCCTCCCTTCCTCTCTCTCCTTTTCCCTCGCCCGTTCCCCCCTCTTCCAACTCTCTCTCTCTCTCTCTCTCTCTCTCTCTCCCTCTCCCTCTCCCCGCCTCTCTGTCTGTGTCTGGTTCCGCGTTCTGTTTTAGTCTCTGTCCCTCCCCCTTTCGATCGGTGTATCAGCTTCTTGTTTCTTTCTTTCCTTCTATACTTATATAGTTGGTGCACCTTATCCTCCCCCCTCCCCCTCTCCACCCCCTTTCCCTTGCGCATAACACAACACACATACATCCCTCCCACCCACTACTCTTCACTCGCCTTACTCGCCTTACTCGCCCATTATTAACAGTCCGTCCATCGGGCCCCCATCGGATCTACCATCTTCAATCTTCTGGATCGCGCATCCCTGGCTGTACAACAACACTTCCGCTCGGATTGCCACTGGTTTCTCACGCCTCCCCCCACTAATAGAGAGGCAAAAAAAAAACAAAACACAAAGGACAAGGAGATTAATATTCCACTCGCATCTCGACACACCATCCATTGGACATTCACCCCTAGGACCTTGATTGCCCAGCCTATTTGATCGACTTCCAGATTCCATTCCTTCAATGGCTCCCTGAAGTTATCTCAACTGGACAGAAAGGCGACTACTCTCTCTTTCCCCGTTCCTCTGGACCTTGGATACCTTGACTTTGACTTGACCACCGTCCCGCCACCCGGATTTTGGACCCCAGGATTTATATCAACGATCCCTTACTGTGTCTCTGCCTCCTTCGCCCTTCACTTTACTTTGACAGAGACTCGTGTGTGTCTAACACCAGTCTCTTCAAAACCTCCCGTCCTCATGCTCATGCTTCCCCCTTCCCCCGTCTACGGCATGTATCCCCCCATGCTGCCCACTCCGCCCCCCACTCCGCCCGCGCGCTGCTATGCTCCGGAAGACCGCTTGGGACTGCTCCTGGCCAACCGGCTGGAGCTCACCAGCATCCTGGGTGTAGGCGCCTATGGTGTGGTCTACACGGCCGTCGACATCCATACCAATGTCCTGTATGCTGTCAAGGCCCTCAACAAGTCCGGACTGGATGCTCGTCAGCTCAAGTTCCAGCAGCGGGAGATCAAGCTCCACCATATGGCCAGCCAGCACCCCAACGTGGTCTCCCTGGTGCGCATCATGGACTCGGTGGACTGCACCTACGTGGTCATCGAGTTCTGCCCCGAGGGTGACCTGTTCTCCAGCATTACCGAGAAGGGCAACTTTGTGGGCAACGACCTGCTGGTCAAGCGCGTGTTCCTGCAAATCCTGGATGCCGTCCACTTCTGCCACTCGATTGGAATCTACCACAGGGACCTGAAGCCGGAGAACATCCTGGTGACAGACCAGGGCCTGACGGTCAAGCTGGCGGACTTCGGTCTGGCGACCACCGACTACCTGACTTCCGACTTTGGTTGCGGGTCAACCTTCTACATGTCTCCAGGTATGTGTTCTTTGGTTTGATGGTCGGGTAGAACAGGCCAAGTATTGCCATGGACAACAGCTGACTTGACCATAGAATGCCAGCAACCAAGTTCGCGATCGGTGACGTGCTACGAATCAGCGCCCAACGATGTGTGGAGTCTCGGGGTCATTCTGGTAAACCTGACGACCGGCCGCAACCCGTGGAAACGGGCCTCGATTGAGGACTCGACGTTCCGCGCATATCTCAAGGATCCGTACTTTCTCAAGTCCATCCTGCCCCTGTCCGATGAAATGATTTGTATCCTAAGCCGTATCTTTGAGTGCGACCCTTCCAAGCGGATTACCATCCCGGAGCTCCGCCAGGTGATCATGGATTGCCCGCGGTTCACCATGAACCCTGTTATCCCCTGGTCCAGCGGACCCGTTGACTATCTCAACCCCGTGCCCGGGCCCGTGGACACGTTCAACACGCAATCTTCCGTTTCCTCTGGATCCTCTCAGTACTCCGACTTCTCGAACTCAGTGGTCTCCAGTGCTTCATCCTACACTGAAGGCTATCCCGACATGGACAGTGTCTCGTCGATGTCTTCTGTGGGATTCGAGACTGAGGACTGCAAGGACTTCTACCCTACGGACCCGATCCAGGCGCCTGAGGGACACGTCATTCCTTTCAGTTTGATTCCTGTTTATTGAATCATACAAAAACAAAAACAAAAGCACTTTACGCAGGTCACGATTAACGGCATTTGACATCCGTCTCTACTGGGTCACTGTTCGACTGTATTTTTCCACAGGACAGCCAGGAGATTTCACTTTTCGACACTACATTCTTTGGACATACGCCTCCTTCCGGATTGGATTTATTATACCCTATTTGTTTTGGCATAAATTGCCTTTTATTGCAGTTGCAGCTGCAGCTACAGCCTTGTTCTTGAGGATAGGCGGCCGTGGATTGTTTAATAATGGTTACACTTGGGTGGAATTTTGCTCGGGTTGACTCGGGGATACACTTGTTGGCGTTGAATTGGGCGACGGCATTGAAAGAAAAGAAAATACCCCGGATATATTGGAGTTGCCCTTTGATCTTATACATAATTACACAGTGTGGTTTGATGCTTGGTTCGGACTGGCAAGTGGCAACTTATGGCAACCTTTGATTCTTTCGATTATGGCAACGTTTTACTAGTTGCCTTAAACTTCTTGACAATATTCACACATTGACAACATTATGATGGACATACTTGTACTTTTATTTCACTGTTGCAACTTGAGTTGTTAGGTAGATGCTGCTGGCTTGTGTTACTGCTGAGGTCATGCGTGATGTTAGGCAAGTGCAACTCAGATGGTTGCCTATATGTACATTAGTGTATTGAATGCGACTTCTGAATCGCACTACATGTTTTGTATATAGACTCAGCATAGTGCTATAGGTAGACGGGAGACTCCTGGAATCCGCTCAGCAGAAGTACATTTGACATGGCAGCATGGCAGCTTGGCAGATACATGGCTCCATAGTAGTTAGTAGACACAGCTCTTACTCCACTATAATCAGTGTTCTTGTCCACCATATGAACCCCAAACTAAGGCAGAGACACTGCACATACTCAGCTTGCCACTGCACACTATGCATGTATGTACTAGCATCTAAGTTACAAACTATAGATCGACCCCATCCCACACTACAGATACAAAAGCCTTGCGGTCCCCCCCCCCCAAAACCACCCAAAACCAAGACCCAAAGAAAAAACCAAAACCTACATCTACATATTCCTCCCCCCCGTAACCCTAACCGTCTCCCCAGTCACATAAGCAAACAACGGACTCGCCACCGCCAACACCACCCGCGCCGCCTCCTCCGCGCTCGCCGGCCTGCCGAGCGGAATATCGGGATACTGTCTGGCGGCCCGCCCCTTACCTGAAGCTGAAGCTGAAGCTTTCCCATCCCCACCATCCTCCGAAGAAAAGGATGACCCCCCTCCCCGCCGGACAAGCAACTGACGCCCCGGGATCCCCAATGCGACCCGCTCCCCGCCCGCCGTGACCATGACCGCCCCGTCCTCCTTGGGCCCGGTGAGGCGCGTCCGCACGTGCCCGAACGCCACCGTGTTGGCGCGCACCCCGAACCCCGGCCCCCATTCTTTGGCGATCGTCTTGGTCAGTCCCGTTATGGCCGCTTTGGCTGTGCTGTAGTTTGCTTGGCCTCTGGTTGGTGTTAGTTTTGGTTGTTGTGGGGGTGGGGGTCTTGGGGGAGGCTTGGGGATTAGGGGGTAGGGTAGGCTAGGGCAAGGGTGGATTTTGGTTGGGTTGGGTAGGGCAGGCTAGCAGGCTAGGGCAAGGGGGGCATACGCATTCCCATGCACCCCACTCGTGGAACTGATATTCACGACACACCGGGGTTCGCCGTCCTGGAGCCGGAAGAACGGGGCGGCGGCGCGCACGAGCTGGAAGGGCGCGGTCGCGTGGATGGCGAGCATGGTCGTGAATTGGGCGGTTGTCATCTTGCCATAAGTTCCCTTTCGGTTAGTGGCCAATCTCATCTTTTCGAATAAGGACGAGGACGAGGACAGGGGCAGCAGTAAGAGTGAAGGGGCGGGTAAGGGTAAGGGTGAGGGGGAGGGTACGGGCAAGGCCTACCTTGTGAATCACCCCGTCCCAGGTAAACCCCGCGTTGTTGACGAGGATGTGGATCTTGCCGTTGCCGAACTCGGCCGTCTGCTGGATGAGGGAGTCGATGTAGCTTTCGTCGGTGAGGTCGCCGGGGAGGGCGATTGCTGTGGCGGGGCCGTGCTGGGTGTTGAGGTCGCGGGCGAGGGCGTGGGATTTTTCTGTTGCGGGGGTTAGTGTCTTTGGGTGGTGCTGTGCTGTGCTTTGCTGGGCTTTGCTGGGCTGGGCTTTGCTTTGCTTGGGAGGGTAAAGGGTAAGGGTAGGTAGGGCATGGCATTATCTCAGTTAAGTGGAGGTAGGGCAGGCGTGGCATTATCTCAGTGCAAGTAGAGGTAGGGCAAGCCAAGGCAAGCCGATATCTCTAACCCTGACACTGCCCCAAGTAATCCAAGTGCTCCAAGTAAAGCAGCGCGTAAAGCAGCGCAAGGCAGCAGCGCAAGGCAGCAGCGCAAGGCAGCAGCGCAAGACAGCAGCGCAAGACAGCAGCGCGTAAAGCAGTGCAACAGCAACACAAGCAAGGCAGAAAACTAACCACCATCCACATCGGCAATGACCACGCGCGCCCCCTCCCTCGCGAACAGCCGGGCGGTTTCGGCGCCGATGCCCTGCGCGGCGCCCGTGATGAGCGCGATTTGGTTGGCCAGGAGGCCCTGGGGGTAGGTTAGCTGGGTGGATAGCTGGGTAAGCCGGTTCATTCTGCTGGTTTGGGGGGGGGGGGGTGTGAGGTTGAGTTTGGGTGGATGTTGAATGTAGGGTTGTTGTATGCGGATAGGAGGTATAGTTGTTGGGTGGTGGTTTATGGTTTGTGGTTTGTGGTTTATGCGGGGAATGGAGATGCCTCGGCCTCGGTCCATACCCACTCTAGCCGAGAGCCGTTCTTTCGGAAGCATGCGATGCAATTGAGAAAACCTTACGTTGCTATTGCTGCAAAGCGTGATGGGAATATCTACACAACTATGACATAGGCTGGGGCTTAGACTTACACTAGGCTGAGAAAGTGACCTGGGCTGAAAGTTCATCAGGGTCACACATTGCTTACTTTGTTACAATCCCAGGTAGTATCCTCCTCCCTCGTGTTCAACTGTAGTACTCATGATGCCCTTCTCTCCCGACTCCCTTCGGTCCGTTCGTCGCTCGTGTTGACTTGCTGACCAAAAGAACAATTGGATTATACCCCCTCAAAAACCACTTTCAATTGTACTACACCACAACTCGAGAAGGATGGGGTATCACTAACTTCACCGACTACGTCCGATGGTGCCTCTCACAGCACCCACAACAACACATACAGCCACCCCCCGCCATCGCTTGCAGAAACGCCTCCACCGTCGCATCGTGTCCCGCCAGGATCTGCAGGATCAAATCCCCGTTCTCGAACGCCGCCGTCAGATCCGCCGCCGCCGTCGCCGTCGCCCCAGGGCTGCCGCTGCCACCACCACCACCACCGCGGATGAAAAGCTCCTGCCGACTCACCTCCGTCGTCTCCTGCAGTAGGCTCACCACCTCCCGACACTGCAGCAGCCGGCCGCGCAGCAGAAACCGCCGAATGCGGCGCGTCTCGTCCAGCGCGATCTCGTACTCCCCGTAGCCCACTAGCACCCCTGGGTCGTTTGCTGGTGACGTGGACGTGGTGGTCGATGCAGCAGCAGCAGCTGCTGCTGCGGTGGTGGTGGTGGTTCCCGTCAGGGACAGCTCGTAGGGAATGGCGAAATCAAACAGCTGCACGGTAAAGTCCACGATCGAGGCGGCATACAGCAGATGCGTGCCGTCTTTGGGACAGCCAGGACACTGCAGAAAGATGCGGCACGTCACCAGCGCGGTCGCGATGGCTTGCAAAAGCAGATCAAACCGCGGGTGATGCACCATCGTCGTCACGGACCGCAGGCGGTTCATGTGGAACACCAGCGCGTCGCCGCAGTCGCACGTCGGTTGCATATGCACCGCCAGTGGACAGCTGGTGATCCCCTTGGTGATGAACTCCTTCTGCAGGAAGATTGGCGACATGGACGACGTAGCGGTGGTGGTCGTCGTCGTCGTTTGGTCGAAGATGGACAGCTGCGGCGGAGGTGGTGGTGGCGGCGGTGGTGGTGGTGGCACGTATCCCCCCGGCGGCGGACCCCCCATGCAAGACGGATGAGGATGAGGATGATACCTGAGATGCTGCGCTGCAGCGCACGACTCGTCCAGTAACGAGGAGACGTCCGTCATGCTAATTCCCTGACTATCAGGACTGTTAGAATGGCTGGGTTGGCTGGTATCCTGGGGACTCTTTACATAGCAATCGAGAAGAACCTCATTAGCTTTCACATCCAAAAGCACACACCTAGTAAAGAGGTAAAGGGGGCAAAGACTCACCGGCTCCTCCAAGATCCCATCAACCACCGAAGGTGGCTGACTCGACACAAACGGCTCAATATAATTCCACCCGCCATGGAGATTCCCACCCCCACCGGGACCACCATCTCCTCTTGAAATCATCGGCTTCCGTTCCTCCGGATGCTGATTCTGTTGCTGTTGCTGTTGCTGCTGCTGAAGCTGCAACTGCCCCAATTTCCGTAACGTAGCCCGATTCTTACTCCCCTTGGGCTTCCCAGACCGATTGGCAACGCGATACCGACATGTCAACCCATGTCGCAGACACCGGATGCACGCCGACGAGGACGAGGGCGACGAGGAGGGGGCCTCCTTGCCCCCCGACACGGACAGGTTGCATTTCACCTTGGACTGGCGGCAGTTCTCGCACGCAGCCCGGAGTTTCGGGGTGTCGAGAATGTTGGTGGCGCCAGGGCCGGTCGTGCGAGCGGCGTGATGTTCGGTCTTGAAAACCGAGTGTGTTTCTGCCAGCATCTATCCTTTTTATTTTCTCCGTGGATGTTAGAGAGGGAGACTTGTTTTGGTAACTTTGTTTCGTGGGGGGGTGTGCGAGCGCGCGTGTAGCTGTGGTTTTGTGTGACCTCCCTCCTTTAATATTCGTGAAAGGGTGGTGGTGGTGGTAGTAGTGGTGGTGTTGTGTCGAGTACCTCCGGGTTAGGGTTGTTGTTTGTTGTTTGTTGGTTTCAATCGCGAGTTCTAGAAATCAAAGGGAAACAACAATGATAGAACACCATGTACAACAAACATACATATACACACAATACAGGCAGCGCGACAGTTTGCCAAGCAGAAGGGAGAAGCCTGCGATTTCTCAATTCGAAAGTTATCGAACTGAAATCGGGGAGATCACCTTTTTATATCTACTTCATATGCTTTTCCGAGCAAGAAAAGTATAATATAAGCTTGAATCCCATCAGCAGCAGCGCGCGCGCATTCTTATTTATATCGACCACCCACAGTGCTAGTCTTCATACACCCTTCCCCCTAACGCTGGGCTCCCCTTTGCTTGGTTTGCTGGCTGCTGGCTGCTGGCGGCTGCTGGGCTGGGGCTGACTGACTGACTGACTGACTGACTGACTGACTGACTGACTGACTGACTGACTGACTGAACTAAATCGAATCGAACTGACTGGCTGGGTGCGGGCGGGCCCAAACCTGCAAGACTTGAACTTCGTATCGCGAAATCCCTAAATGAACGGTAAGCGCAGATGAAGTCAGCCGTCGTGACACCTTAAATCATTCCATCTGATCCACCTCGCATGGGGGAAAGGGAAGAAGAAAAGCCGGGGGCCCTCGCGAATCTGAGCGTCGTCGTGGTTTCTGGACATGTGTGTGTCCAACTGACCTGCCCGTGGATTATCTTTTGTTTCGACATTCTTTATCATCTTACTTGTCGGAAAAGAAAATACACACTCCAAAAACAGAAAAAGAAAATCAAAATCAATCTGCCAGATTCGATTTCAGCCATCGTTGCTTGGCCACCACAGCGGCCCAACCATAACACTCGTCTATTTTCTAACGTAAGAGGTCCAACAAGATAATAAGCTCAAGTGCAACATTGCCTTCGTTTGTTCGGCAGGCCCAGTCAGTGGGCGGGAAGGGACTTCACCCTCTCTCACTCCTGCCCCCAACTTTAATGCAAATTCTGCATGAATCAAGATATCCAATTCGTAAGGCGAAAAAAGGCTATTGTCTCTGACGTAGCATCCAATAGCACTGGAAAAGAAAATCGGTATGCAAGCCAGCGCATACCATGTGAGCTGTAAGACTGAATGCGGGATTCGCCTGCCCGGTTTGAAATGTCGCAGGGCAAGCGGTGAACATCTGAATAGATACCCTTAAGAAATTCACAGTTATAAAATGTTGCAATGGTCAGCAAAGAAATGTGGAAATTGAATTGTTAGACAAAATGTCTCGTATCCCGTGTTTTGACGTCAGCGTCTATTTCTCAGCTCATCTTTGCGCTCTAGTACTAGGGGTAAAGAATCAGTCGATTATGGCTAGATTTCCGAAGATGGTGACCAGCAAAAGGCCCCTTGTGCGATCCTAGATCCCCTTGCCGGCGAATCACCGTCAGCTCCAAGCACAGCTGGCGGCGAACCCGCTGTGTCTGTAATCAAACGCCTTCAGTAACCCGGTCAGATGAGCAATTGCGGCGCAGACCACCAGCACGTGAAAAATCTGATGGGAGCTTCCCCACAGATCGAATTGGCCGGGTCGCAAGCGTTCGGGGACCCGAGCCGCATAGATCGCTGCCCCCAGGATGTACAGGAGACCCTGGAGCACCAGCCAGCCGAGTCCGATCTGGCGTGTCATCTGCCCCAGCCCGTACAGGCGTAATCCGTGGATCACGGGAAATACCGCTGACAAGCCCATGCCGACAAACATCGCCGCCCGGAACGGTCGCCAGCCTGGGGTCCGGAATTGAGGGAAGATCGAGACGACGACGCAGCCAAGGCCAATCGTGCAGATCATGCTCCAGTAGAGCCGTTGCAGCGCGGGCTGACAGTAGAAGCCAAAGTAAACGCTGGGGATGAAACTGCCCACCGTCAGCCCCACAATGCCCGCGTAGTCGAACGCGTTCCCGATGCGCGCCACCATGGGCGAGTGATTCGAGATCGTGTGGTAGGTGGCAGACATGCCCAGGCAAAAGGCCGCCCCGGCGAAGAAGCAGCCGAAGACGATCATGTCCGCCTGCGTCGCCGTTTCATATCGGGGGGCTAGTGCCCGATACAGTGCGAAGGCCGCCGGCACGACCAGCAACGATGGCAACAAGTGCGTGTAGATGTTGACCGTTTCATTGTGAAGATAGGTCAGGGACTGGAAGGAAACAAGGAAGGAAGCCGAGGCCGGCCGATACCCGCTATGGATGTGCTGGTTATCGCGCTGCCAATGGGGGAGCTCCTCCCAGTGAAGCAGCTTCTTGAGGACTTTGGGAGGCTGTTCCAGCACAGCAGCTGCCACAGCAGCAGGCTGACTCGTGCCCAGAGCCTTCTCTTGGCCGTGAGTGGAGTGACGCTGGCGAGGGGCCATCTTCTTCACATGCAGCCTGCGGATACTGTATGTGGGTATGTACGTACAATGACAGATGGATTCCGGGATTTGTTTCAACTCTGTCGACGAGGTTGGCAAGGGAAGAAGGGGACCGGTGACCCTGAACTGAATACCCAATATGGCTCGCTTCCAAGACCAAATAGCCCAGGAGTGACCGGAACCCCCGCTAAAATCACCGCGACCCAAAAAAGAGGTTGATGAGGACAAGAAAGTCGGTTGGGACTCAGCGGAAACTCGCCGCTTCCTCGGGCATTGTTGGGGGGGCAAAGGACAAGAAAACAAACAGCGCAAACCCTGCAAACACCACCGCGATAGCATACGGTAGCTACGGTAGCTACAGTAGCTTCATCCCCACTCCGTCTCCCTCTTCCCCTCAAAACGTCACTCCAACCGGCTATTCACAACTCGTCGCTCCTTTGAATATGACTAGTCGAGCGCCCCCGATACGCAAAGCTTCCGGGAGTCGCCTGAAGCCCGTGGCAGACTCCCTGGAGACGGTGGGCTTCGTATCTAAAGGAGACCGGAAGTACGCCTGCGCGCCTTCCAACCCCCCACCTCCGCCCGGGCTGACATGCGCAGATTGCTAGACCACAAAGCTCAAAAGGAATATTATAAAAGTATTGTTGAAAGATATATGGCTTTCTGCGCTCTTCATGCGAAGGACATGGACGCTGCCTGGACATCCCTCCCCAGGAGCGCCTCGGATGACGCAACCAAGAACCCGCCTGCTTCCTTACCCACGAGACCAACAGGGACATCCACTCCTTCGGCAGCATCAGAGTTATCTACTATCCTGCTCTCCCTCAGAAAGCTCCGGGAGGCCGTCCTGGCCACTGCATCCACAATCCCTATCATTTTCTCCCAGCAGGTTCACCTGTTCTCCGTTAAGATCGCCATCCGAGCCCAACATCCTCCATCGTATACTCCCTCCCTCCGATACCTCATGGAAGAGCTCCACACTCCATCGCATCCACTTCCAGACTCCGATTTAAAAGAGGTGATATCGTATCAGATCCTTGATTCTGCTTGCCGGCAACAGGACTTGGGTGCCGCTTATGAGCTGCGTGCGCGGGCGCGCAGGAAATATGCATTCAATTCGTCCACGGTCGATGAGGTCCTGCACGCGCTGGCACATGATGACTGGGTTATATTTTGGCGCATCCGTAGGGGAGTAGATTCCAACATGCGCGCCGTCCTCAACTGGGCTGAGGAACGGGTTCGAAGGCACGCTCTCAAAGCTGTGGGTAAAGCTTATCTCAACGCCGATAGCAAGTGGATCACCGAAGGTTGTACCGGAGAGAAGGAGTTGACGTGGGAGAAGCTGGTGGAATTGGAGAAGCTCGGATGGGAGAAAGAAGGTGATAAGATTATCATTAGGAGGCCGAAGCAGAAACCCACCGTCAATCTGACCCCCATCAAGGAGGCTCTGTGATGGTGAATGGCCGAAAAGTATTGTTATATCATTATATCATGGCTCGGCAAATTGTGATTCAAGGTTATGGCGTCTGGCATAGGGTAAGATGCTTGAATTGGTTTAGCCATAGCACATGGATAAGGAGGGTTGAGCTGGAACGGTTCTTCAACACTGTGCGGCCTGTGTCATCGATTGACATTAGATCTTGAAATCTGCACTTGGCCGGTCCAAGTTTAGGACTCCCGTCACTGGTTGTTTGGCTACAGTCTCGACAAGATCTGTTTTGAGCTTCCCAGCCTTCTCAGAACACAGCTCGTAGATAGTCGATAAGTTGTACACGAGGCTCGGGAATGAATGCTCTTTTTGTATCAAGGATTCGAGAACTTCACGAGCCTAGAGGCATAGTCAGCATTGGTTGCCAATCCATTATCATCACACCAGGGGACTTACCTCATTCAGTCGACCAGTGTACAACAAGCAGACTGCTAGGTTCTGCTGGATAATGGCTTCGTCAGGTCTTTGGCGCTCGCGCTCCAGCAGACTGCGCCATTCGTCGGCTGCCGTGCTATATTGACCCTCAGCCATACTGAAGAGGGCGTTGAAGAAGCCCTGCTCATTTCCATTGCCCTCGCTGCACAATAGCCTGGCACTGTCAAGATCGCCGATCAACACCAACAGGAGCGCCTTCCTTGCGTTGCGGGTTTCATTGTCTACGCCTGACATGCGCAAACTATAGAGTGCCTGTTTGGCCGCATTGAGATCGCCCATTTCGATCAGTGCATTGACGTTCCGGATCCCCAAGTCCGCGAGCCGTTCCCTCCAGAGTTGCCGCTCCGCCGGATCAAGATCTGCCCGCAAGATCTCCCTTCTTGCCTCCAGGCCAATCTCATAAAGACCGCCAATGCCCCTTCGAGAATCGCCGAATCCTATACTTTGAAGTCGCACGGCTAAGGCCCTCAGAGGCCATGGCACAATATGGCGAGGATAGCTCGGATCTTTGTCGGATTTATCAGGTAGCGGCTCTACGTAGTAAAAAGCAGAGGTCAAGTCCTCCAGAGCTTTAGACTCCTGTGCGGCAATGATGGTATTCCCGGAAAGCTGTAGGCATGCCAACCGGGTGTAGAACAAAGCAAAGATGCGTTTGATGTCTGTGGGTTTGATCAGAGAAGACGCCAGTATCGTTCCACTGAGATGAGCTGCCAGTAAGAAATGGCCCTCCGTCAGGAGTTTCTCGAGTTTTTGAAGAGTCGAAGATAATGACTCGCTGGAGGCTGGAACGATGAATTCGGAGCGCAATGCATGTGGGATGTCCAGCTGTGACAGAGAGTGATATATCTCATAGCGAAGAAGGAATGAGAGGTCTTTCTCCACGGTAGGTGGCAGATCATCAGGAGCAAGTGGATCCAGATTCTCAAAGGAAAGACCAGACAGCTCAGTTTGAGCTGCCGGGCAGGATTGCCTCAGTGTGTTCACCGTTTCGGTGCCGAGTGGACTGGCTTCATCAGCTTCTTCCTTGACATTGACAAAGTACATTAGTCTGCTTACTCGTCTAGCTGGTCAAGTGGACCCTTTGTCGTACTACGAGGTCGGGAAGCTATCATACATTAGCGGGAGACGACCACTACTTCATCTGAGACTCCTTACATCTAGAAGCATTGCGGCTATGCCTGGAAACGGCTTCCATGTCTGGGGTCAAAAGTAGGGGATGCAGAGGCCGAAGAGTATGTACGACAGGACATATACCAGTACCAAGGACCAGGCAGCGAGCTATGTCGCAAACAATGACAAGTTTCGCGGCGCAGAGATCAATGCAAGCAATACTTGCTGAGGAGGTTATGTTGTCTGGAAGGCGGAGCGTCGACCATGGGTGGCAGTAATGCGGGAGCCCGGATTTTGCCCCGGCTGTGCCAGAGCGGTGAAAGGTCGGTCGGATAGACAAACTGGCCCCATCATCAACTGTCAATCGCGCTACAATCCACCCCGTTCCCCAACCTAGGATACTGCAGATCAGCATAAAAGAGATCTATCTGATATTGCACAACCGGTCACTCTTACTTTCTTACATCTCCTCTACCACACAAAGCTCTTTCCGAGCCAAAAAAATTACTGGATCGCCACCATGACTCTCGCCGAGGAGTTCCGCACTAGAAACTTCAGTATGGACCTGCATTGTTTACACTTTGGCTGATTCAAAAACAAAAAGAGCTAAGATCTGTTCGCTTAGGTATCTACGGTCAATGGTATGTCGCGCTCTTTCTATCCAGTGACTTCTGTACAATTCAACCGGCTGGGAGCTTCGCAACTACAATGCAAGCGAAAGAATAACTGCTGCCTGGCCCCCAGCATGGACGCTTGGCGCCTCCGTGATGGGAGCTCATTCAACACCCGCCTGCCAAAGCGACCAAGCATGCAATACCTGATGAGCCCTATTGAAGCACGATATATGAGCGAGAGCTGGGAGACGTTGAATCGCAGGCCACAAGCGCTAATTTGATCCAAACTAGGACCGGTGTTGTGTGCATCATCCTATGCCTGGCTCTCGGTATCGCCAATATCTTCAGTTTCAATGCGGTGATCATCATCTTCAGCGTCCTGTGTCTGTGAGTGGCTTGGTACCCCGCAAAACTGGAATCTGGGATTCACATGCATTGTGCAGTATTTCCGCCTTCATTCTCATCTTCACCGAAGTACCCTTCCTGCTCCGAATCTGCCCGACCTCGCCGAAGTTCGATGAATTCATCCGCAAGTTTACAACCAACTGGATGCGTGCTGGCATGTACGCTGTTATGAGTGTGGTGCAATTTCTCAGTCTGCTCAAGGATGCCACCAGCTTGATTGCTGCGGCTGTTGTTCTCCTGATTGCGGCCATTTTCTACGCGCTGGCGGCCGTTAAGAGCCAAGAGTTTGTCAGCAGTAAGACACTGGGTGGCCAAGGACTCGCGCAGATGATTGTGTAGAGGCCGTAGGCTTTTGCGCAAAAAGGAGAAAACAACTTATACAATGTGAGCATTCTCCCGAGGTCAACGACAAGCTGATTCTAAAGAGTGACTTCATTTAGTCAGAAAGTCAAATCATGGAATGCAAGGCTTCTTGGGGCTGGAATTGAGTGTGATGCGATGATGAGCCGACATCGCGTTCGTGCTGCGACGGAGGGGCTTTGCACTCCTTTGCTTTGCTTTGCTTTTTGCAAGACCTAATCCAGCTTCGCTGGAGTTTGGGTTGCTGCTGATGCTTTGCTTGAGCCATTCTTATTACCTTGCCTTGTATCGGTCTGCTTTGTTTTTGGCATCTGTTACCTCGCTGAGGTCTTTCGTGATGAGTTTAGATGAAACCTGTAACAACTAGTAGTTCACCGCAGCGAATACCCTACCTACCAGCATCCTGGCGATGAATATGAAATTTGCTCTTTCCAAGGCCAATCGCATATACTCCGGAAAGTCTGTCACCCAGGAAAGGGGGACTAAGCTCGGGCAACCTTCTCTCGATTGAACCTCAGCCCTGGCCCTGAAAGGGCCTGCCCGGCTGTTTGCATTTCCCCTTGACCTCCCGGACGGCATCATGCATCATCAATATAACCACGGGAATGCGATAGCCGGACTTCAACCACTCAATAAGCTTCGTTCCAGCGCCAGTGCCATCGCCAGCGATCAAGCTCGGTCGAGTTGAGTTCGAGCAATGCTCGTTGGGGTAGCTTTGTTCGTCGCACACAACTACCTGTAGTTATCACATTACAGCTGCACACACATATTACGATACTAGTGCGAACGACAACCACAAGTCCAACCAGTTTTCATCAATGGATGCCTAAGGGACAAGATCACTAGTGCATCCTCCGGGGCAAAATCGATACGTCATACCTCTGCCCCCTTTCCCCTCGTTTTACCCCTCCGTCTCCTCATCGAGTAAGAGAGAAGGCTTCCAATTTTACCCCGCGCTTCCGGCGGCGCGGTTGGCGTCTGTGCTGACGCTATCCATGCATGTACGGAGAACGAACAAGTTGGAATGATTAGATCACGTTCAATGGAGTTTTCTGGGCAGCCCCGTCTCTCTCCTCGCGATGTAGAGACTCAGAGGGGGACTTGAAGTTGCGCAAGATTCTCCTTGGAAGTAACTAGCTTCGTTGTCCGGCTAGGCAATTACAGTAATCAAACCTACCTTACCGATCGATGATATCCTGGGCCCCCGTCCCCCTATCATGTGTCGTCCGTAGCTTCGAGGATAGAGAACGCCGGAATCACGCTGATTGGGCCCTGGGATCGGGGATCTTCGAGTCCGAGTCATCAGGAGCTGAGTCCCTTGCTGATTGAGCCGGGGGCCGGATTGTCTGTGTTGATGTGCAGCGCCTAGAGACTAGAGTATGTCTCTCAGTTCTCCCTCGTGGTCTTTTTGTTGCATGCAGGGAGGGTACTTGGCGCTGATAGATGCGTATCGGATTGTCCGGGGGGTGGGGACGAGGGAAGGGGGGTGGTAGTATGTACTTTACAGTACTTTACGGTGCTGTGCAAAGCGGAGAGTCGACGTCGGATCTGGTGATATGTTGGGGCTTGTTGTTGAAGTATGGATCTAGGCGCAATTGGAGGATGGGGTGCAGCTATTGTGTGGTGAGTGTTCTGAGTTTGGTTTTGATGGATGTAACAGGTCATATAGTCGAGTGGCTACTGGATACTGGGGTATGTTTCTGGAAACTATATACGTACATTATGTGCCAAATTCGTATTGATTCTAGAATGAGGCCTTTCTATCAACGTGCTAACTCGATAAGAACTTACGTAGCATTAGTTGGGTCCAGTCGGTACCTACTAATCTCGCAGCCTTCTTTATCAGAAACGCCTATCGCAAACGCCCAGGATGATACCCCCCGTGGACGATAAGCGAACGGCGGCGAGCGATGGGCTTCATGATGCAATCATGATGTGGAGCCGGTTGAGTCCAGGCTGTTCACCGCCTCGGCGCTGGTGGGGTTTTGGTTGAGAGGGGGTTACTGAGGATGTGGCCAGTCACATCCAAGTCGATACAATCACCTTGGATGCGATACGAAGTACGAAATACATACAGTATACGGAGTATCTAGTTTACTCTGCCCAGTGTAATCGAGTAGTTTCTTATTTTGTCTCGGCGTGATCATGACTCCCGAAGTGATTTATCGGAGTTCTCAATGCCTGCTGGCAATAAAGAGGCCCAAGCCTCTGCAACAGACTGACTGGTTGATGATATGCACACTTTCCTGTGACCCATTGAAGCTGTTCACCATGAGGGATATTCTGCATGTTTTTCCCTCCCTTACTCGCCCAGCACATCAGCTGTGCGACATCCCACAACCCTTAAAACGGGCGATCAGGCCCATGTGCATGGCAGCCAGCCAGCCCGCACCGCCACATGAGGGGTTACTTTACTACGTCCTCGTAGTATTGGCATTTGCGCCAGAGAAAAGGGGGTGCAAGCTCTTGCTTGATACAGAGTACTGTACTTCGGGAGCTGGAACTGAATCGTCCCTATCAACTGGCAGCTATGCTACGACCAGGGATAGAAAACACCCTTTAATATTGGCGTGTAATTGAAATTGTACTTAAGGTACCTGGCAGCCGGGGCTGCTGTCGCATACCAAATCACTAGACTACTACTACTACTACTACTACTACTACTACTACTACTACCACCACTACAAGCAGCAGCAGCAGCGTGGCGCTTGTGGCTCACAGCTCATCTGGACCATGGTCTGGCCCGGCCGCATTATTTTTTTTTTATCTCGCTGCTCCTTTTCAGTATAGGGTAAGGTGTAATGCAGAGAGGGATTTTCAGTTTTCACGCAAGTCAGTCCTCTCCACTGTCACACGAAATAGGGCGAGGGATTTTTGGTATCTACGTCTGTTCATATTTAGCGACGGTCGAAATGGGCCAAATTAGTTCGCCGGCGGATCATCAGCTTGATACCAAGTTTCGACTGGTGGGAGGGAGAGAGAGGGGGAGGGGCGCAAGCTCTGCTGGTCAGTATGAGCTATTAATGAGCTCTCGTGGATGCCACCGGCGCAGAACCAAAGAGTACTAGATGCTCATCGCTGGGGTTACTAAAGATGCCTAAAGTTTTTAGGTACGGCAGCCGATTCTTATCCTGCAATCCTATGTTCCGCGCATGAGGAGTGGACAATGCAGGCGGTAGAGATGGGGGAAAATTCATCGAGATATACAATGCCAACGATTGTAGGAATATTCGAGGGTCCTCCGGCTGATGGATGTACTGATGACTTCTTACTATCTGGTCGGGCCATTGGCTCTATCCAATGACCTTTCGATACAATGGAGCTTCTAATCAGTCTCACGATGGTGGAACGGGCAGGTATCTCAAAGAAAGATCTGAAGGGACACGAAGATCGAGAACCAATGACGGAAGGGTAGATAGAAATGGATCGAGAGGAAAAATGGTAAACCTAAAAAATGGACCTGGTCCTGGCAATTCAAGGTTCAAGGTTCAAGGTTCAAGATGTTGAACTGAACCATTCACTCAGTTAGTTAGTAGTTACTGTACTCGATCGAGTACAGGCGTAATTGCAACCAACCAAGGTCGTTGGCTCACAGCCTGACAAGGGCGCATACAGTTGATACAGCAGTTGATACAGTTGGGGTGCCGTCAGAGAGCGTCACGCGATGGGGCGGTGGGCCGTGGCAGGGAAGAATGCGGTTAGTCTGCCGTTACGGCCACTTTGCGGGAGTAATTTACTTTACGGAGTACAGGTCATACATCATACTCATTTCTTCTGCCCATCTTTCCTACCCCTCGGCTTCTGCTGAACTTCCTCCTTCTCCCTGAATCCTCCTCCCACTTTCCCCTAAAGTTTCCTCTCGTCTATACTCTATCCCTCTACTGCTATCTACTGATCCCTTGTTCATACTTCGATCCTCAAGTCTCTTTCCTACTACTATAATTGCTCGACTCCGCTTTCCCTACTGCCTATCCAATTGACGCCATCTGGTCTCCGTCTACTTGGGCCAATACTCCCTCCAAAGCTCGCCCGCATAAGCATAGCACCTCGCATACTTCTTTTCCCACCCTCAAACCTCGCCGGTAAGCGAATCACTTCTACTCCTCTTATCAAAGTCCCCAAAAACCGACTGTGCCCCCTCCAATCTCGCAAATCTTTCATGTCTTTGTCAAGGCGCTGGCGGGAAATGTCAACGGTGAAAGAAGGTGATCGGCCACGCATCGCGTCTACCTTATCTACTCACTTGGAGAATATGTACATTCCTTACCCTAGATTGCTCCCCGCTCACATCTCAATATCCTTCTTATGAATTCCGATCTTGTCTCAAAAACCCGTCCAAATATAGACAACGTACTGTCTTTCCCCCTTCCCATGGCGAACCGGGTGCATATACAGTGACCGAAGCAAAGCTACCCTGTGCTAGCGTCGTCACCAGCCCAACCATTGACACGCACCCCCTCGCGCGGATTTATGTGACTGGGGATTTCTGTGCCCTATAGATCCGTAATCAACTGACTTGACTGCCAGAGTTGATCTTCGAACTCAGATTCAATCTGTCACTTGCCTTACTAGCAACCAGCCATGACTACACAAGCAGCCCCCGCCATTCCTCCGCGGCCGTCGAGGTCTCCACAACAGGGTCTTGCACCCGCCTCAGCAGAAGGCCCCAAGATCCCTCCTCGTCCGTCCAATCGTGCTGAGCGCTCTGTATCTCCCTTTCCCGATAGCTACGCCCCGTCTCCTCTGAACGATTTGCCCAACGGATGGGGCCTGAAACGAACCACCTCGAATGACCTACCTCAGAGACCCCCGAGTGTCACGATACCTTCGCTCGGTCAAGAGGGCATTGAATACCAGGACCTGGATGTGGCCAATGTGTCAGAGGCTCAGCAGGCTACACCGCCAGAGACCCGGAACGTGGGAAGCGATTTAAAGCTTCATGCGCCAAGACCGTCATTACCCACTTCCAGCGCCAAGGCAAGGGTGCAGGCTGTGACACGTACAGACTCCCGTCAGGCTGCAGCAGCAGGCCTGGGGCGTGCTCCATCTCCTTCAAATGACGATCATTCCGAGCGGCCTACCCGCTCACTGCACTCGCGAGCCAGCGGCTCACGTGGTGACTCCTCAACCATGTCCGCGGATCGTCGACAGTCGTTCCACGGAGAGGAGCATGGCATTCCGGAGATCGGACAGAGAGTCCCGATGTACCCTAATGCAGGCGATGTGCAAGCTCCATCCCCCAGCCCTTACCTCGCCGAACCCCAGGAGAAACGCTCGGGACGCAACCACCACCGCACTCGCAGTGGCCGCGAGGCATCTCTGCCTCCTGGCAGCTACGGTCTGCATGGTCATGGTGTTCCTTCAAACGACAAGTTCGAGAAGGCCTGGTATGAGAAGCACCCCGAAGAATTCGTCCGAGAGGAGCAAGGCCAATATGGCCCAGGTGTTGGTACACCACGGCCCGACTGGGCCTTGAGCAGCGACGATCTGAACAAGATTGTCCGTGGCTCTGCAGTGAATGGCTCTGGGCTTGGTAAGTCCTTGCAGGTCTTTTGGTAATGGGAGATCGTTTCTGATTATGTGACGTACAGGTACATCCCCTGCCCTGGCGGGTACTCCAGATGAGGAGGTCGGCTACATTGCCTCAGACGAATACACACATCAGCTAGCGTCACCGGGACTCGACTCACGTCGTAATTCTCGACTCGCTGTTGAGTCACCTCTGCGCAATTCGAGTTTTCCGGCTACCGATGCGCAAGCCCAGCCTGAAAGTGCTGTAGAACAGGAAACCGACGACAAATCGACTCACTCCCGGGTCATTCATGTCGACGAACCGTATCACCATTTGCACCATCCGGACGGCTTCGCTCAGACCCCCGGTCCCGAGGAGCTCACCCACAATTTGGATGTCGAGGAAGAAAAGGCGGAGTCTATCCTGGCAGCTGACGAAGTACGCCCGGAGTCTGCCTTCCAGCACCCGGCTGTCTCGCCGACTTTTGGCCGAAATGGCAGTGTAGACTATGAAGGAAGAAGCCGCACTCCAAGCGTGACTCACAGCCGTTCGAACAGCAGGACGGCTAGTATTCACAGCGGTATGCCAGCTCTGGCGAGATACAACTCGCGTGACGAGCACGAAGGCACGCATACGCCGCTTGAGGATGTCGAGGAATACGAACCTCTTTTCCCCGAGGACGAGTCCAAGGACCAGAAGCCCATCACTCCCGCAGAGCGCTTCAGGCAGCGTCCGGATCAATTGAAGCACCGGTTTCCCAGCCAAGACATCTGGGAGGACTCACCCAACAGCTTGCAATTATCTGCCACTGTATCTACGCCGGACATCCCCAAGGAGGAGGCTTTTGAAACACCGGAGCAGGAGTCGAATCGTAAGAGCCAGGCGCCTCAGATTGACGCTCACAAAGTCGCTTCACACATTCTGGGAACGGACGATCAGGAAGGCAGGCCTTCACGCCCGGAGATCTCTAAGCAGCGATTTCCGAGTCGAGATATCTGGGAAGATGCACCTGAAAGTCATACGCTGGTGACGACAGTCCAACCGGCAGATGAAGAGGTCAAGAGCCCGGAGGTTCCCTCAAAGCCCAGCATTCCCCTTCGGCCGCTGAAACGCCCGGGACAGGCCCCTGCGGTGGATGCTTCCTCGAAGCCGGTCACTTCCCCTACAGATAAGCGACAACCTCCCTCGATTCCCGACAGACCGAAGCCGCAAATTCCGGCCCGGCCCTCCAAACCTCTCTCGCGCGCCAGCCCTGAAGAGGCCAAGGATACTGCTGCTAAACCCAAGCCAGCCATTCCCGCACGGCCCGGTGGAAGTAAGATTGCCGCTTTGAAGGCCGGGTTCCTGTCCGACTTGAACTCGCGGCTCCAGCTCGGCCCACAAGCGCCCCCTAAGCCACAGGAGAAGAAGGAAGAGGAGGCGCCAGCCGAGAAAGTACCGCTCAGTGATGCCCGGAAAGGCCGTGCGCGTGGTCCCGCCAGGCGGAAGCCAGCTGTCGAAAAGACGCCCGCAAGGCTACCAACCATCCCCGAGGTCAAGATCACGGAGACCTGGAACGTGTGGCAAATGGGTGAAGACGGAACCCTGACCGTCGGTGACGAGAAGCCGACCACAGCCCCGACACCTCCTCAGACAACCTCTCCGGAAGCCATGGCACCTCCCATCGCCAAGAATCTTGCCGGTGAACCGGCTGAGCCCCAAGCTCCCACCGCCGCTTTCGAGAAAGGAGAAGCCCAAGACGAGCCAGTATCGCCCGGCGCCGTCGCTCCAGCTGCAGCTCCAGCAGACGTCAACCCGACGCAAGAGACTCTACCCGAGCCCGTACCGGAACCGACATTCACCGAAGCGAAGCACTCCATCCCGCTGGCCGACGACCACAGCACGGCCGCGCCGGCCCCTGCCGTCGATCCTGTCACCACAGACGATCTATCCGCCGGGAAACCCACCATCATGTCCCCGCCTGACCGATCGCCCATCGACGACATCGCAGCACGACTCTCTGCGTCTGCTGACGGTAAAAGGCCGTCGGAGGGTGACATTGGCGAGACCCTCGACAACTGAGACATTGTATGGGCGGGCGACAGTAGATCATCAGACAATCGCATGCAGTGTTTTTGCCCCAGTATCTTAATCATCTCTTTTCCTTTGCCGTGTGCTAGTGTGTGTCTGTTTGTCTTATGAACCCAATACTAGTTGATAGGACCCGTGTACAAAACAAACAGGAGCAGCAAGCAAACCAAAACACACCCTTGCGTACAAGGTAGGCAGTAGTCAGCCAATATGCATTACTGAATAGTGTACCTGTCCGTATGTAGCCACATACCTATCTATACACAACAATAGATGAAGTCTCCACAGACTATGCAGCCATCTTGAAATCAGCATCGCATCTATACTTCTCGCCTGCCGGCAGCTCGCGTTGCGTTTTACACCCCTCAACATCCATGACTAGTATCCCCTATCCTCGCACCATTTACCTCGTCTAGCAGCATAGTACCGCACCGCACCGCGCCAGCTCTATCCCAGATATAGTTCCAGAACTGTACCAGCCGTAGAGCCCAATGTCTTCCAAGGTTCCCCCCTTCCTTTCCCTTCCCTTCCCAACTCCGCATTCCACCCCCGATAGCAATATATCAAAATCCAGAATTAGTGATTAGAACATACGGATACCTGCTCCAGATCCATAGTACAATCCACCACTACCCAGGTACCTACCCTACATGTAGGCCGGTGGATATACAGTATAGCACAGTACACACACACATTCAATAAACCCGAGTCTGCTTGGCATTTCAAGACTAACGAAAGTAGTTATCGGTTATATATAGTTATCCACATGACTGAATGACTGGCTGACTGGCTGACTAGCAAATAACCCGCAGAAAGACGTTAAAAGGCATGATCTAACTTGGACGTCATGCTTTGGTCAGAGCATGAGGATACGATACTGAAAGGAAGGGGAGGGCAAGGGAAGGGAAGTGGATGACATCGATCGATTGCTTACTCGGAAGAAAGTCATAGCAATTCAGAGCAACTCGAAGCGATTCAAAGCAAGAAGGAACTCAAAGCAACTCGAAGCAACTCAAAGCAACTCAAAGCAACTCAAAGCAACTCAAAGCAAAAAGAGACACACACAGAGCGATGTTAAACTGTCGCGGGAATAGAAATGATGTTTCATTTGTGGTAATCATAGCAACAAAGCATATATTATGAACACTTCATTAACTAGCTCTTCTTTGCTAATGGAAAATCTGGAGGGAGGGACTGGAAAGGAAGAGGGAGCGATTGAGAATAAGAAAGTACGGGGAATGTTTCTTTAAAAAAAGGGTATCTTTTATTTGAGATTTTTTTTGTCTTTTTTTGTTTTGGTCTGAAGGCGTACACCAGTGGTTCAAGGCTGAAACTAGATATACGGGGATTTGGGAGGAGGAATGTGGGGGGAAAGGGACGCTAGAGTTGGGAAAGATCAGAGCAATTTTGTAGGCAGATTGCGGCTGCCCAGGGTTTTCTTACGCTTTTGCTTCAATCAGAAGAGAAGAAGACATGACGATCTAGCTAGCGGGCAGGTTCTTCAGGTCACCCTTGCCTTCTTTGATCCACTCGGGATCGATCAAGCGCTCACGCTCGGCGTAAAGCTGCTTATATGCGCCACGGATGGTGCCATCGCTGACGTGGGCCACCTGGGAGATCTCCTTGGCGGACTTGCCGTGGCCCATCAGGTACGAAGCCATGTAGATGCAGGCGGCCACGATGGACAGAGGAGAACGGCCAGCCAGGTCGCCCATGGTGGTGACGCGATCGGAGAGAGCAGAGGAGACGCTGGTGACTTGGAAGGGAAGATCGAGAAGGTTGCAGAAACGGTTGCAGAGATCGCTGGGCTTGGTGGAGGTGGTCGCGGTGTAGGTGTCGTTGGGATCGGGAACACCACCGCTCGAAACCACGGCGTTGATCCGCTCGAGGTTTTGAGCCGTGAAGAACTTCTCCAAAGCCTTGTAGATGCGTCCAATCTCCTTTCGCGTGACCTTCGTGACAGCGAAAATCTCGGTAAAGGTACGGGGCACCTTGCATTGACGACACGCAATGAAGATACAACCGGCGATGATCACGTCTTGCGATTTGCCCTTGAAGGCCTTGGCGTCATCGACAATCTTGAACAGATATTTGGCGGTGTCGGCAACGTTCTTCTGAATATTGAAACCGTCGCAGAGCGCGCCAATTTCCTTGTACGCCGCCAGGAGGGCCTTGTTGGCCTTTTCACTCGACTGCTTGTTCTGAGCGCGGTAGAGGTCGCGCACTCGACCCGAGCCACCGCTGGCAATCTGAGTTTCCAACTGGTCACCATTGAGTAGCGGGTTCGTTGCGTCTCCAACACGAGATGGATCATCGTTGTTCTGGTCATCGTTCGAAAAGGTACGCCATTCGGAATGCATGTCGATTTCTCGATCAGCAAGCACCAGCCCGCAGGATCCGCAGACAGTTTCGTGAGAGCCGGGGAACTCGAGGTTGGGGGGGACCTCTTTGCACTCGGGGCAGATGATGTGGGCGGAAAGATTCTTCTTCCATTGCGGCTCAGCTTTCTGGGTGGCCATTTTCTCTGATCGTATCGTGTTCTCTGCGATGGACTGTGGGGTTGGCGCCGGCTCGACTTTCGCGAATTTCCTGCAGTAGAGCGGCTTATGTTTGCGCGCACACAAACGAATGTAAAGCGGCGAGAACAGTGTGGCGACTGTTCTTCGTCAACAGAGGATTCAAATCCTCTCCAGCAACAACGCAAAGGGAGCAGCGGCGCGGATCGTGATGTCTCGCGAGCAAGTCACGTCTCTGCGTCTCACTGGCTTTCGTTCTCATGTTAGCCTGCTGCAAACCCTTTCCAAGCAAGATGAAGACAACTCCCAGCAGAAGGAGGATATGAGGACTAGACATGGGCTTGGGACGATGAGCAGGCAGGGCCACTACCAGACCAGCTGCCACCGACACCTTGCCTACACCTCAGAGATGGGATCAAATTCCATGGTGAACTGATGCATCTTTACCTTTCAGAGCAGGTAAAGGACTCTTCGTCCTGCGAACAGCTCCCCAACTCAAGATAGCACGTTCCCAGGGGAGGTGCCGTCACTAATCAATCTCCGTCACTCGAGGGTCTTCGCACGCCTTGAGGCCAAGCTTGTCCGACCGCGATGAACCAGTCAAGGTCTCCGTGAACGATTACAGTCTCACGGAAAAATGGGCCGCAGAACCTGACAGGTAGCAGCTGCACGTTATGATCGGGGAGACCAGAAACGAGCAGAGCGACGTAGATGTGTCGGATTCTCAGACAAGAGAGGCCGGATGGGTGGTGGAAACAGACCTGTCCAAGAGGAGGGGAAAGGAGTGAGGAGGAGGAGGAGGGGGAAAGGGAGTTGGGAGGTTGAGGGACAAAGAACGAAAAGGACGAGAGTGAAGTGAGAGGAGAATCAGGTAAGCAAACGGAGGATTGCAGGCAGAAAGCACCTGACCTGACCTGAAAGACAGTTGAGCCGCAGCCGCTGCTGACTCAGCCCGCCAAGCCGAAGCCTCCCGAACAAACGTCGAACTTCCAACATCGGCTTTCAATCACGGTCGACAGCAATTGCTCTCCTCGCAGAAACCCACCCACTTCGAGTTTCCCCTCGTCTATCTCCCCCCCTTCTCTCCGTCGCGATGATGTCCCAGTCTCTCAGAGCTTCCGTGAGTTCACCGCAATATTCCCTCCGTGGTTGTCGGTATAGTCCTCCTCCGTGTGAACTGACCCTTTCTGGTAGCGCTCTCTCTTCACCCGCGTCTCTCGGCAACAGGTTTCTGTTGCCCGCCGCACTTTCCTGACCTCCGCCATCCGTCAGGGTAGGTGATCCATTCCCTTGTTCTGCCGCCGTTGTCGACTCTCGGGAACTGGTCGTGTAGTCGCATTGGCCTCGCGATGTTCGACTCGGCGTGCTCCCCACGACGCAAGTCTAACGTTCTCTCTTTCGCAGCCGACCCTGTTCAGGACCTCTACCTCCGTGAACTCCGCGCCTACAAGCCCACTCCCGTCAAGCCCGGTGATGCCGATGCTCACGTCCTGAAGTTCTCCCCCCCTGCCGCTCCCCAGTCCCCCGAGGAGGCCAACCTTGCCAGTGAGCTGAAGTCCTACGAGAGCCAGGAGGTCGAGGTCGAGGGTCAGGCCGCCGCTGGTGAGGCTGCCCCCGCTGAGGAGAGCTGGTTTGAGGAGGAGGAGGAGACTCCCGCTGCCCACTAGGTTGCTTGTCTTGACGGCAAGATAGAAGGATATCTCGGGGCTAATGGGCAAACGTGATGAGACCGATGTGATGAGCTGTCTCCCGGTTGTTGTGCCTCCGAAGGTCACTTTGTAAATTAAAACCTATTTGGAGCATATGAAGTTCTTTTTCTTTCTTTGAACCTGAATTTGAATTCGGATGTGCAGTCATGGATGGATGGGTCGTACGAGGTGCACTGGAGGGTATCGATCATGTTATACCAGCCCCGTTAGCCTCAAGCCAGCCACTGGGCATTACCCCGGAGCAGGGCTAGGCAACAGAGATTTGCGAGCCTAAGGCCACTAGGTTGTGGCGGTAGGGCGGAATTGATCGATCCGATCCGATTGATAAAGTAGAGTCGTACTCCGTACCAAGTACTGTACTCCGTACTATGTGGTAAAAAGGCAAAACCAAGTAACTAACTACTGGACTACTTGAGACAAGAAAGCGCACACGTCCCCATTGTTCCCCGCCCGACAAACCTGATACGAACTGGTCGGGATAAGAATGGCCGGCTGCACTGATGACCCCATCGTGCGACGTGTGCAAAGGGTCAAACACAGCTGGAGCCAGCCAGCCAGCCCATCCAGAAGGGCACATGGGCGCCGGACACCGACTACCTTAACTACCGGAATACGTACCTCGCTTCGGATTCGCAAGGGATGCACATCCCCCAACCTCACAGCTTACATTTGGGCTTGAGTCAAGGGCGGCAGATCAATAACGTGTTATCCCCGTCTGCATCGGGCGAATTCAAACAAGAGGTGCATCACGCAATCGAATTTCATCATCCATCCACCAAAGAATAAGGATGAGAAGCATTGCAGATGAGATCTGTCGAATTGGACTGGACGCAGGGGGGGGAGCGGAGTGGTCGTTCTTGTTCTTCATCGGGTGCCGGACGAGATATGACAGCTCCAGCACGACTCTCAGACCGCTCTCCCAGCTGTGTTTCTTAGCTTCGGTTACAGATCATCCAGTCTGGGTTTTTCCCTTCTTTGTCGAAAGTTTACTTTGATAGACACTTTTTTTGTGAAGCAAAAAAGAAAGAAAGAAAAAAAAAACTCTTACTCGTCGTCGGAAGGGTTTGACTTCCCCGTGCGCAAGAGAAACACCAAGCTATGGTGCAATAGTCTCTTCGCTCAGCCAATGCACAGTCGATATGTTGACAACATCTCATCCTGAGGTTTATCAAGGTTTAAATAGATCTAGTGGCATACCCACCGAACACACCCAGCCTGCAGAGTCGATCCCTTAGTCGACATGAGACACGACGAACCTGAACCGAGAAAGACATCCCATTCGGCCGGTAGGTGGCTATAACTTAGGGTGGCTGGAGTGCTGCAAGACTGTTGCTGGCTCTTTCGGCCAGCCAGTTCACTCACCCATGAAGCAGCTCACTATCTTTGTAACTGTCACACACTTCACCTGCATTCAATCCCACCGCCTGACGTTGACCGAAGACAATCCTGGAATGCAGACGGTGGTCTCCCGGTGGACCGATTATGGCTGTGCGACATTCCTCGGGGATAAACCAGATTGCGCAGAGGAATCCGCCACTGTTTCAATGATAATCAAGGATAACGATTAGATTAGGTGCACCTGAGTCAGTATATCCGTTCCCTTCCTTCGACATTGCTGAAGAATCAGGAGAGACGATGAGTACGGTAGTAGAATGAGAGACGATCCAGATAGAATGGTCTCATCTCCATTTGGGGACCAACACGATGGGGTCGGTAGGTTTTATGGGGCCCGGATGGGGCAAAGCAACGCCGGCTTAGTACGAGTAGTAGCCAAGTCGACAGGGAAACAACCAGAGGACTCGTAGGTACTGTAATCCATACCGCCGTAGGAGAGGAGACATTATTTATAGGAGAGATTGCATCATGACAGGAGCCAAGGTACAGGACTCCGTGCACACCTTAAGGATCCTCTTTCTTTTCTACTGTTTTGGCCTACTTTTTGGACGGGAGATTTGGCAGTGCCAAGTTTTTCTACGCGCGATCCATTACTCATAGTTGGTTTCACGCCGGTTGTCCGCGCCCCCCCTTCCCCTTCTCTTCCTTGTCCCTGTCCCTGTCCTCTGGCCCCCCCCTCCCTCTTCCCATATAGGGTTGAATCCGTTTTGGCCGTCCTAGCTCCAGGGTCCTTGGTCCTTTTTTTTTTTTTTTTTTTCGTTGTCGCCATACCGGAAGTATGGAGTAGCCAGTATCCTCGGTACTGTACGCAGTAGAGATAACTATGTATAACCTGGTTGGTAGGCGACTACAGTAGGAGGAAACCGTCAGCAGTCTCTCACCTACACCACCAACTATTACCTCAGAAAGTAAGTTATATCTGACTATCTCTAGACACCTCTTCTCTGTCGGTTGGACTTGCATGCAGCAGCAGCAGCAGCAGCAGCATCCACTTTTCACTGAGTAGTGATGGGGACAGAAATGCTGGGCTGCTGTATGGTATCGTCTCGTATGTATGTACAGTATGTACAGTACATGCCCTATCGACTGATCTACTGCATGTATAGTCCTCTCTGTCTTCATCAGAACGCAAAAACTAAGCACTGGGCCCTTGGGGTCGAACCTACTGATAGCTAGTGTAGTTATTCATAGCAAGTACTGTACCGACAGAGTCAATCCCCTTCTGTAGGGTGATTCATCATGACAACGATTATTGAAAGATTCCGTTCCCCCAGAATGCAAGGCTGGGGGGGGAGGGGGGGGAGGGAGTCAAGTTGCCTTCCAGGGATTCCAGGGATTCCAGGGATTCCAGGGATTTATAGGTATTGAGACTGGCTTTTCCACAAGGGTGTGATTTCATGAGTAATCATCATCATGATGATGTTGGGTATTACAAAATCAAAGAGGAGGATACGAGGACTATCATTTCATCAAGACGATTCCTAGATCCAGGGTTGGAAGTGGTCTGCCCTGGGGTGGGGAGACGAGGTGGGCTTGTAGGGGTACGTAGTCGAGTTGCAAGTTACAACAGGCTGGTATCAATACCTTGTTGTCAATCGATTCAGAAGTAATCAATCAATCATGCGTTGTGGACAGGACAGGACGAGGCAGGACAGGACACTCATGTCAATTCGGTTCATCTCAATTCATCATCACTCAACCACCATCCGATGCAGCTAGGAAATGGGGAGAAAAATAATAAATCCGAATAAAAATAATAATAGAATCATCGTCCTTCCTCCCACATTGAATCACAAACCACAAACCACAAACCTAATTCAGGAACAGACGGCTTCGACATCCACAGGCTGGAACCTCTCTCTCCCTTTGGATCCTTAAACGTGGAGGAAATCCCATCTTCAATCGAGTCGGTCCTTTCTTCGCCCTCGTCTTGGTCTGCTTTTGTTGTTGCGATCACTATTGCTACTTCTGTTGTCGTTGTTGTTGTTGTTGCTGCTGCTGCTGCTGCTGTTCTCGGGCCCGAAATAAAGAAAGCTGAAAGGGACGCTTCACTTTGAAATTTCTTTGCCTCTCCCCTCGCTGTCCCCTCTTGCGCCCAATCTCTGGGAATTATAGGCGAAGAGACGAAGAAGGAGATTAGAAATCGAGAGAGACAAACAACTCAATCTCACGGTGGAGGGGATTATTGGCGTTGTAAGAGACCCGTATTTCTGCCTTGAAGCCCGCCTGTTGCGCTGCCCGGATTTCCCTTTCCCTTTCTTACTTACTCTCTGACACTCACTCACTCACTCTCTCCTGTCCGTCCCTCCCCTTCGCTCTCTGGCTGCTCTCTCTCTCCCTCTTCTTCTCCCTCTCTCCCTTATCCGCTCTCTCTCTCTCTCTCTCTCTCTTGTTTAAACTTCTCCTGCTCCACCACCATACTTCTTCAAAATCGTTTTCGTTTTCTCGTTAAATCTCCATTCGCTTTCGCACTCCCCCAGCCCTGTCGTTTCCTAGACAAATTTGTTGTTCCCCCTCGTTACCACGGCGTCTAACCCTGCCCCTCGCTCAATCCACTTCTCCGCCGCTATACTCCAGCCTCCCGACCCCCCCCCCCCCCCCGAAACGCCGCAATTCTTCCCCGTCCGCCAAAACGACAGCGCGCGCAGCTCTCTGTCGCCATTGCCAGCGTTGACTAATTCCTGTCTATTTGTCTGACAGATTGTCGAGCCTCAAAATTTCAGCTTCTCAGGAGAACATTCAGCTCGAGCGCCCGGTGATCCACCACTGTCGTATTCGCTTGTTCCTCTTCTGCCTGCACCGCCATAATCCATCGCCAGCCCGCCCTCCCCTCCACAGCCTCCGCGCCTTGTTTCCAGCAACCCACTTGCAGTAATCGCTACTTTTAATGCTAGGAGGGAAAAGTCTTTGAGCGCATGGTTTAATCTCGTGTGTCGTGCAGTTGCTGTACCTAGAGGAGCTGGCCTCCCAACCGTCCACCTGAGCTTCGATCCAATTCTCTGTTGGAGGGGAGATGTGCATCTTTCGAGGGCCCTTTACAGTCACCGTTTCATAACCCGAACGAACGAACCACGGCCATGTCTTCTTCCGAAATTATCATGACTCAACCCAATGACGAACATGCCTTTCTCAATCACGCCGCCAGTTACAACCACCTTCCTGACCTCGCGGCAGCACAAGCAGCCGCTCACCCTGGCCTCCGAAGAACATTCTCCGATCTCACACATCCCACCCAGTCGGATTCACCGTCAAAAGAGGATGTAGCAGCGGGTAAGGATATCTTGCGACGGACTTCCATCCGTTCCAAGAACAAGCCCACCATTGCCGTCTCGCGGTTCACTGTATCCGCGGAGGACTTGTCCGACTCGACAACCGGCTCAGAAGCGACCTCATTACCAGCCAAAGAACCCACCGAAACGAGACCCCCGTCGCCGGTAGCCCGTCCCTCCAAGGCTCGATCGATGTCAGGGAGACTCGTCAGTTTGGCCCGGAAACCATGGTTGTCGAACTCGCCTCCACCCGGGAAGAGCTCTCGGCTTCGGTCCCTGCGGACGGAGGAGCAA